TAATAATAATAATATCTCTACTCCTCATTCTAACTACGAGAATTAGCCCAGAAGTCGGAGACTTGTGCGGGAGAGGAGGCGGCATATTATTATTAGGCAGGCCGCATTTGCGCCCAGGAACGACTTATGTTGGTAGGCCCTAACCACCATTCAGTGCAGGAATGAGGGAAACCTGGAAAACCTCATTAATTAGGGGGGTAGTCAAATGCCAACCGGTGTCAATCTCTCACATTGACCCAAGCCAACATTCTTCCACTCTACCATACCTGCACAGAGGGTGCCAATCCTCCGTACAAGCATAGCTAATCTACGGTCTACCGGCCGCGGGAATCGAACCCGGGCAGAAATTTGCACACGATTAAAGGACTGACGCCTTAAACCGTGCGGCTATCGACCGATTAAGGTCTATTAATTATGGTCTATATCATTAATAATTCTTTAAAATTCGGTATTTTTCCTGCTGAATTGAAAATTGTTCTAATTAGCCCTTTACACAAAAAAAGGTGATCACACAAAATTTGAAAATTTTCGACCAATTAGTTTGTTACCCAGTTTTTCAAAACTTTTTGAATGTTATGAATGACAGAATTCAATATATGACCGCAGAAAATTTGTTTATTAAAAATCAACAGGGATATCAAAAAGGCAAATCTACTCCAACAGCGGTATTTCAATTAATTAACACAATACTGGATTCACTAGAAAAAAGAGAGATTCCTATGGGCATTTTTATTGACTTATCAAAAGCGCATGACTGTCTTGACCATAATATATTATATGAAAAACTGTGTATAGACATGGCATTCGTGACTCCGCTCTAGACTGGATAAAATCGTACCTATCTAGTAGAAAGCAGACAGTGACCCTATGCAAAGATGAACAAAGTGCAAGGTCTGATGTTGTTCAAACAACATTGGGTGTACCACAGGGAAGTACTATTGGCCCTCTTTTGTTTATAATATATATAAATGACCTAAACGAAGTAATAAACATAAATAGAAAGTGTGATATTGTGAACTATGCAGATGATACTAATATAATAATGAGCAGGGTGAGCTTTACTCAGCTATTCGAAGATGCAGATAATATATTATCTGAAACAAATAAATGGTTCGCTAAAAATAAACAGATTTTAAATAAGGACAAAACAGGTGTAGTGTAGTACTATTTAAAACCACACATGCACAATATGAAACAATATAACATATTAATTTTACAATGTCACCAATTAATTCAACTCATATAGTACTAAGTTTCTTGGTATTTATATAGACACTGTGCTAAATTTTAAAGACCATGTCCAACATGTTGTTATGCGACTTAATAATGTAATTTATTCTATGAGGATTATAGACCAATACATAAAGCGAGATGCATTGAAAATAGTTTACCATGCTAACTTTGAATCTGTGTTTCGATATGGTATAATTTTTTATGGCAGTAGTTCAAATGCCGAAAGGATTTTTATTATTCAAAAGCGTGTGTTATGAATAATACTAAAAATGAAGAGTAGAGAATCGCGCAGGGGAAAATTCAAGGAAAATAAAATTTTAACTTTCACAGCTGTTTACATACAAGAAATATTATTATTCTTTTTAAAAAAACAGGCATTTGTTCACAAAAATGTCTTCACAACATAACCACCAGACCAGAACTGAGGATTATGCCTATCCGATACACAGATTGACAGTTACAGAAAAAGGTGCCTTTTATAATAGGCCCATTCAGTAAAATTTTTTTATTGCATATTTCAAAAGTTTACCCTTTAATTAGTTAGTATGCCAAAAATCTATTTTTTTGTTTCAACGAGAAATGTGTGAAATAAATTAATGAAAACAGAGCGCGGAAAAACGTTGAGCAACCATTGCCTGACGTCATAATAGNAATATGAAACAATATAACATATTATTTTTACAATGTCACCAATTAATTCAACTCATATAGTACTAAGTTTCTTGGTATTTATATAGACACTGTGCTAAATTTTAAAGACCATGTCCAACATGTTGTTATGCTACTTAATAATGTAATTTATTCTATGAGGATTATAGCCCAATACATAAAGCGAGATGCATTGAAAATAGTTTACCATGCTAACTTTGAATCTGTGTTTCGATATGGTATAATTTTTTAGGGCAGTAGTTCAGATGCCAAAAGGATTTTTATTATTCAAAAGCGTGTGTTATGAATAATCCTAAAAATGAAGAGTAGAGAATCGTGCAGGGGAAAATTCAAGGAAAATAAAATTTTAACTTTCACAGCTGTTTACATACAAGAAATATTATTATTATTTTTAAAAAACAGGCATTTGTTCACAAAAATGTCTTCACAACATAACCACCAGACCAGAACTGAGGATTATTCCTATCCGATACACAGATTGACAGTTACAGAAAAAGGTGCCTTTTATAACTGTTTTAAAATGTATAATAAATTGCCTGCTGATATAAGAATAATTAGATATAATAATTTTCAAAAAGAAAATTTTTAATTTATTAATAGATCTGGAACCATATACTGTAGATGAGTATTTCAATAATAGCTTGTAAGGATGAATTGTTTCTTGAAATCTATTATATACGTATTTCTTTTTTCTATATGGACAGTTATAAAGTTGTTAGTGCTGTAATAGCAAAGCTCTGTTGACGTTATTTTCATTAATGTTACTGGATCTATGCGACTGTTCTTGAAAATAAAGATTATTATTATTATTAATGATTCACCCTGTACACAGGTGTTAAATATTCACAATGTGGAATCTCAAAAAATGAGTTGCATGTCTTTTCTTTTTTATTTGGATAGCTTTAGTAAGTACTTTATCTATACTTGCTCTTAAGAGGTCACTATAGCAAATAGGCAACCAGTAATACATTTTTATAGATTTTATTACACAGTTTGTCTAAATATGAATTAATGCACAAATAAGATTTTCCCCCATTTTAACGCAGATTTTCTGTAAAAAGGACTTAGTTTGAAACTTTTTGTGTAAAGAAACTTGTAATTTACTATGCCGCTTGTGCAAAAGCGGCAAATTACAAATTTCTGTACAACAAAAAGTAATTTGAGTTTCAAACTAACTCCATTTTATAGAAAATCTGCGTTAGAATGGAGGAAAGTCTGTTATTTGTGCATTAATTAATTTTCGACAAACTGTGTAATAAAATCTATACAAATGTATTGCTGGTTGCCTATTTGCTATAGAGCCCTCTTAAACTATCTTTTTATCTAGCCTTGCAGTTAAAATGTTCCTTGATCTGTTGATTTGAGTTGTATAAAGCACGCTTTAGCATTTGCTATAAAAAAAATTTAATTTAATTTAAATTATAATTAATTAATACAACAAATAAAATATTTGCAATTCATGTACATATAAGTAGACTATAATTAGACCAAAGAGAAACTCGTTTCACTATCCTGATTTAGGCTTAAAGTATGCAACACCCATTTGATTTAGGCGAAGTTTGTGACCGATAATAATTTTGATTCAGCCTCTGGCTCTGTCTTGGACTAACCGTTTGCCATGTTGACAGATTATGTCCCACTCTTGCCGACCCTAAGTGACTACTAGCGTCTTGCCCAACTTCAAAGTATGTCGATCTATTATAGTGGGTTTTTCCTCTATCTCCAGTGCTCTCACTGTTTTGAATTAACCTCTGCCTTTGTTCAAGGAGACGGCGACGATGCGCGAGATCGGCACTCGGCGTCACTGTCGTAAAATTACAACTGGCCTCTTTCTGGGCTTTAAAAACTGCACTCCCACTGTTCTGATTTAGCGTCTGTCTTTGGTCAAGCTGGCGACCGATGGTAATATTGCCAGCCGATTTCACTGTGCTAAAATTATGACTAGTCCCCTTCCCACCTTTAGAGAATGTACTATCACTGTTCTGATTTAGCGTTTGTCTTTGTAAAAGTTGACGACCGGTGGTGATACTGTGAGTGCTGAAATCACGACTAGTCTCCTTCTCGCCTTTAGAGAATCTGCTTTCCCCGTTTTGAATTAGTGACTCGCTTTGCACTAAAACAGGATTGATTTCGTTCATTCTATTGGCTCGAATTTGGGACCGGTACTGCCCAACGCCATATTTGCGATTAATTGTTTCTGTTGTTGCAAGATTGCGACTTGCATCTTTTACCATCGTGGGTTCTTGTCTTTGCTTTTGTTCTGCATCGGTTTCATAGTTTTTTGTTTGAGTTTCCGACATGCTTTTCCCTACGTATACATTACTTTTCCCTTCTCTGATCCACGTTGAACCACTTGTTCTGCTCCAAGTCTGTAACTTTTCATCTTCCTTATTTTGTTTATTGCTTCTGTCGACCTGAGTTGGCAACTGGCTTCTTGTTTCTGACTGATCACCTTTTTGCTCTTCTAATCGCGTTTGGCCTTTTGTTCGAGGTCGAGACTGGCTTCTTCCTCTGTTTATGTTTTGCCATTGGCCCCTTCCTCTTCCTCGAGCTCGACCTCGACCTCTTGGTGTCCACCTTGTTTGTGGTTGCTTACTTTCCCCTTCTCGACATTGTGATTGATCTCTTTCACTATTTTCGGTTCCATTTTCTGTCTGGTTTACTCGCCTGTTTTGCCAATAGCCTCTTCCTCTACCTCGCATAACATTTCTTGCTTTGGGTTGATCATTTTCCTGATCCTGAAACTGTGATTGATAATTTCCATTGTTTTCAGTTCGAGACTGGTATATTGTCATAGATGGAATTTGTGATTGGTGTATTTCTCTGACTGGAGATTGTGACCGGCTTCTTCTTTCTCGAGTACAGCTCCTTGGCCTAGACCTTGTTTGTGATTGGACACTTTCTCTATCTGGAGATTGTGATTGGTCTCTTCTTCCAACTTCAAATCCTGTTTGGCTTCTTGCTTGCTTGTTTCTTGTTCCTGACTGGTTTCTTCTATTTTGCCATTGGCCTCTTCCTCTGCCTCGCATCTGACCTCTTCCTCTGCCTCGCTTCCGACCTCTTGATGTAGGCTGATTCTGAGTCTGATTGTTGTCATTCTCTTGCAATTGAAACTTGTCTGTTTCACTACCTTGAGCCGACCGTTGACCTCTCTCTTTAGAATTAGTCTGTGATTGATCACTTCCACTGTCTCTCGAATGTAAGTCACATTCACTGCCTTGACTTCTCGATAAACTTCTTGTTGTAGATCGTGATTTTGATTCACTCCCTCTTGTTCTTCTAAAATATCTTCTGTAACTTTGCCCCGTGTCTCTTCCTATATCTCCAATTTCCAATTGAATTTTGGCTAAAAAAAATTAATTTTGTTTTAATCTAATATATTTTAGTAAAGCTAGGCAGACTACCAGGCTAAAGTACTCATGACTCATGAGTACCTCATAATTATATACTTAAAAAGTACTCGTAAATGTTTGAATATGAGTACTCATTTAAAAAAGTACTCTAAAAAACAAACTTGTACAAAATTTAAACAGTATTCATAGAATTCCGTATACTATCAAGGAATGTTTTCCTTCATAGTTGTAAGGCTTCCACAGTATGTGCTGTTACTTTTAAAGTACTATAATTTTTCGGATTAATATGTTCCTATTTGTTTTTTGACACCCCATTATTTTGCAATTAATAAATATCCTGTTGTGCAGAAACTCACTTTCGTTTTCAATTTTAGTTCCATTTTTTCCATTATTATTACTCCAGTCGTCGCCAAGTCGTAATAACACCTCATGAACATACTCTGTACGCTTAGATCTTTTGGTGCAAGACGCTTTTTGGCAGAATTCTCTTATTTTTATACCATTATATTTTAATTCATACAATTCCTGTAAGCTTTCAAGGATATTCTGAGGTCTTATAAAAATGTCCTCTTCGCTAACATTCGTTGATGATGATAGTGTCTGATTAAAGATTTGTTGGACTGGTTCATATTCTTGTATAAGCTTTTGCAAATGTTGAATGACAGAGGCATTTGATGAGACCCCTAGCGATTTCTCCCTGCAAATGAAATAATAATTTTATTATTAATTTTCTCATTATTAAACATCAATCTCTTGATTGGTTTTATTAACTATTTGACCAATTCTTGTTCTGGAGTATTGTACATATACATTTTGTAAACTTGTATAACTCAAAACACTTACTGCATAATCAAATATTCCATGTATTCCTTATAGGAGTCACTAAATGGTACAATTACATTGCGTTTTAAGAAACGAGCAATTTTCGTACAAATTTCTACTATGGTGTTATATTCCTTCTTTAGTTCATCGTTCTCTTTGTGGCATTTCATTATAAGGCTCCTGGTATTTACTAGAAGCTTTTCTTTACAATGTATCTCTTCTCTTACATTATTATCAACTATTTTGCTTTTTTCCTTTAGTGTTAGATAGTAAACTTGCATATGCGAGGAAAAATCACAATCGCACATCTTACATGCTTTTGTTGAGCAATCAATGACTTCACAATTTAGCAGTTCAGGACTTCCAATTATTTGATTGGAAGTATTACTGAGATAACATGGACTCTGACATACTTGTTTGTAATGCCATTTATTCGTTTCTCCTACCTGGAAGTAAATATGTTGCTTTAAACAGATATGTTGTCTTTGTTGATGAAACATGAAAATGAGTTTTTATATATAAGAATAAAATAATGGTTCAATAAAAAAATAAGTATTTAAAGTTTAGATAGCATGATGGATTTAATATAGTAAATAATTTAAATACAACTTAAATAATTAACATTATTCTTTCAAAGATTAATACCTTGTATATTTCCGTACACTTGCTGTTAGCACATACCATTACAGGATAGCTTAACGGTATTAATTCTATATCAGTAACAGTAACATAAAGTTTTTGTTTGAGTTCACTCAGTCTAAGAGATTCTATATCTAGATCGTCTTTATGTCTTTGAGCAACAGAATCATTTTCAGTTCTACGTTGAGATATTTCAGATAGTAGTTTCGAAAACTGTACCATAAGTCTCCTGACTTCATTGATGGTATTTGTACTTTCTGTGAAATGGGGTTCCAATGGATCGTTTTTATAGTCTCCAATAATATATCTTATCAAACTGCAAAGTTAAAGTTTAAAATTAATTTGTTATGTAATATTATGTATGCTATTAGTCTGTCTTTCATTTTTTTTAAAAAACAAAAATATGTAGGTAACAAAATTTTATACGACACAAACAAATTACGTTTAATAAGAAAGGAAAGCAGTGAACAGCTATGAGCCGTTATTTGATTATGGACTAACTAAACACATCCCAAACTGCATATTAAATATGCGCTACTCCAGCTGCGTCTTTCACTGTTGTACGACAGTAACCATGACCACTATTGTAATCACTTTATATATGTAGGGGTGAGCTGTGAAGAGCCCAATATATTCAGTGTTTTTGAAATGAATTTTGAAATTCGAGTTAAATAGACTGCATATTACAAATTCAACATTTACTTTTTAGTGATTCATAAAACTTTCATAAACTACATTTTTTTACTATGAAAATTCCCAGGGGGGGCACATTAGCCACCACTGTTATACATTAGATGTATAAAAAAATTGGAAAACTTACTTCTTACATTGTTTAACTGATCGATCCCAGCTTTCGCTATTTCTTTGCTTTATAAAATCATCAAATTGAACATTTTTTTTCGTTGAAACCAAATAACGGAAAGCTTCATTGTCAAAACAAAATAGATTTTTGTCCAGGGGAATGTCCACATGATGTTTTGATTTTATATCATCGACAACTTTCTCTAGATTGGGGAAAGTGTCCCCTGGGCCGTAATCGGTGCCTCTGGTATTTGTAAAAATAAAAATTATATTCTTACTGGCCGATTTTTCTAAACGTGAGAGAATCTGCGTCAAGCAATAGTCAAAATAATTTGTTATTCTGGAATTTGTAGGTTTAAACAGATAGCAAATTGCATGCAGTTTATCAAATTGTGCAACATAACTAAGAATATTCTCACAATTCGTATTATCCTGATCGATGCCTCTTACGTCACCAATTCCTGGTGAATCAATTAAACGGATTTTCATAGCACCATTTCTTATAGGAAATACATACGATTTCACATCTTGAGTTGCCGACATACCTGTGTCAAGGCATTCATTTTGATCTTTGGGACCAGTTTGGATTGTATGATATTCTCCATACTTATCCTGTACTGTATATTTTAATGGGATCAATGCTATTAGCTCCTGTTTCTCAGCTATTTTGAAATCACTGTATGTTAAATAATTTATAATTGAATTTATGAATGTGGATTTTCCTACTCCTGTTTCTCCAAGTAATAGGATGTTTATAAATGTGTTGTCCTTGGTTGTGACATTCTTTGTTTTTTCTGACAATTCATTTAAACAAAACATAATTTCTTAATGGTTCTGAAAAAGATAAATAATATTTTATACATTAACCACACATTTTTATGATCTCTTATTCTCCTATTTTACTTTAGAATATAAGAATCACCACTCTCCAGAAGTTCAGATGATCACTATTTTATATTTAGTTTACGTTAGATGGTGAATTTACTTCATACCATTTCAAAAATATTGTACTGGACTGAGAATTGCAAAAACTGTTCATTATTATCTTGAAAAAAACCAAGGTTTAACTTACTTTTAAATAAAAATTAGCTGATATATCTTGAAGATAGTTGTAATAAAGACGTTTTCAAATTATCACAATAAATTGATATATATTTCTATCGCATATACTGTAGTTATGTTAGATATAGAATAGATATCATATCAGAACAGATTAAATGAATTATAATATCAAATCAACACTTATTGAACATATGAATACGGTATATATTCTCGATAATTTAACGAACTGGATATATAAATGATATAAATAGTGGTAAAATACATGTTCAAGGTGATAGCCAGGTTAAATATTTAGGGGAAGTCCCCAGAGCTGCTTTCAGTCACATAACAATTTTTCAGTAGCAAAATATCAGGCTCCTGGAACATATAGTTTTTTCTATTCTGGGCTCGTGGTCCACAAGGCTGTTATTCACCACATTCATCGTTGCAGAATATTTATTTATTATTATGAACGTGTTGGTCTCGTCTAATTTCCTGCGTACGCACAGAGTACGTAATCACTAATAATTAATCACAAAAATATTTTGTGAGCTTAGGTTATGTTGTTTAATTTTGTTTACTGTGGCTTGTGGCATAGCATGTAGCATGGCAATGCAACACAAGAAATTTAAAAGTAACTAGTTTTCGCGTATGTGCATGAACGAATGTTAAATTTTTGTCGCATTTCGTAAAATCGTTAATCGCAACTCGCTGCTGCATGAACTTACCTTTAGACGAACTCTTGTTCAAGGTCGCTAAAGAAGAAGGTTGCTTACAAATATCTTTAATAAATAAATATCCATGTGTTGCTTACAAACTTTGATCTTGAGTTGTCCAATAGCAATGCAGCATTTCAATTTAAAAGGAACTTCAGCAATTTAAATTCAGATTCTAGGATCAAAATGAAATAATCGCAAACGCATTATTTTAATAATCGGATTATCAGGTTATTCATGATTGTAATGGAATGGTAACAGAGACAACCACGGTAATTTGGATTTTTTATTCGAAATTAAAGACACATATAAAACAAGTGATTATTTAGAATTGTATCGATTGTATCTATTAATTTTTTTTACCTCAAGTTGATAATAAAAATGGAATAATGCCATTTGGTTTTATAAGCCACCCTATTGTATATCTAATGATAATGCTGTTTAGAAATTTCTAGTAATTATTTGTTATAGTCGTTACGATATCAGTTGGAACCGCATAAAAACATTTAACTCATATACTACGGAATCCATAGGCATCCAGAAAAATTTTGTTCTGACTCATTTAGAAACAACATATTCCGAGCTATATTCCTACCTATTTAATTGACGATATTCTCGAATCTTTTGTAAATAATCTTCCCAAAGTGCAACTATACGTCGTGATTCCATAATTACCATACGATTGTCACGTTTTTTATGTTTAAAACCGCATTGTAATAAAACATGGTGTAAAGTATCTAAAGATTTATAATTACAATCAGGATTGTCACTTAATTTATCTCGAATCATATTTAAAGTAGGAACTTTATTTTCTTTATACATATAAATTGTGCGCCGTATTACATCTCTGGTAAAATCGTCAATATTCTTTAATTTTGTATTTTTCCGTTTCTTCTTTGTACCGTGATTAATAACGTCTCCTTCTTTAATTACGCGATAAATTGTCTTTTTTGATATCTTGACTAATTCGCTAATTCGTTTCCTAATTTCTTTATCACATTGTTCACTATTTTCTCTTTTCAAACATTCATATATCTTTAAAATAATACGTAGACATGGTACGTGTAAATCTTTGTTTTTAAACTCTGTTCCGACACTTTGAACCAAAACCGGCTCGACTATTTGGGGATTTTCCCGGGTTATTTCATTATCTTCCGTTTCAAAGGGTCTCCAGAAAGTCATGCTAAATTACTAGATAATTACATAATATTTATGTTAATAACTATTACCCTTTACTGGTTACGATATGAACAAATATTAATATTAACTAATCATTAATAATACGTATTATACCAAAAATAAATATACCACGCCAAGCACTGCTCTCTACGGCACTGACAAAGCCAAGTGAACCGCGTTTGACACCAAACTAATTATAACGAGCGTTCAAATAAAAATGTAGTCAAGTTGGTTCTGAAAATTTGGACGTAGGGCGTAGCGTATAGCAAATGAACTTAAACGTCATCTGTCAAAGCGCTATATCGCTGCTTTGTTATTGAAACTGACAGCTGCTATACAGCTCGTTGAGAAATGAGGTTAAGTTGGTCGCTATGCCCTACGTCCAATGTGTCAGAGCCAACTTCGACCACGTTTTTATTTGAACGCTCGTTAGAAAACCACGCAAAAAAATATTTACGACCTAGTGGACCAATACAGGTTTGCTTTGACGAACAGCGTGCTGTTGTCGATTCTCCATCAGGCAGACTGGTCTACCAATACCGGACTCGCTCAATGACTATTCGAGTATAAATTACGAGACACATCATGGCTAAAGCATAGGAAGAAATTTCAAGAGAAGTAATTGATATCGTAACAACTATACTATGTTATCAAGTAACATCTACATACAAACTTCTTAACATCCTTTTTAGCGCATAAAAGATGCATCTTTGCATACAGGCGAGTCTACTTAAATAGTCTTGTTTTGAACCCTAAAATATGGAAATTCCAGGTATAATGGAATATTGTAACATCCTGTATCTGGGTCTCGGTTAAAAAAATGCACAAAATTATTTTTTCTATAATTTTTATTTTTTTTACATTTTTTCTTTTATTGTAGATAAAATTATTAAATGACTTTTCTTAATATGTGATTATAATATAAATTTCTAAAACAATAATCTGAACTTTCTACCACTCACTAAATTTTATTTTCTAAAATAAAAATTGGAACATAAATAATACATTTAATATAGACATACATATTTTTGATAAAATGATAGTAACAGTAACAAATTAAATACATAAGAATCAACCCCGTTTGTTCATTTTCTAAAGTATATGTTTTTTTAAGAGACAAGAAAAAAAATATCTACGGCTAATAAATACTGCGGCTTAATCCAAATTAGAATCTGAGTCACTATCTGCATTCACGTTCTTCTTTTTAGGAGAAACGTTTTTAAACTTTTGGTTGGTGTTTTTTTGTCCTCTCCCTCCCCTAAAATTTTTTTGTCCCCTATTATCGGTGTAACTATGTGGAGGCCTGTTTTGTGACGGCCTCTGATATTGCCTTGGTCCGGGCATGTTAGCTTGGCTGTGGTAATCATCGTAAGGTCTGCCACTGAAATGCGGAGGTTCAGCATAATGCCGAGGTGTGGGTGGGTAAAAACCTCGTTGGTAAGGGTCCCTAGGAGGCGCAGAATGTGGTGGGGGAAAATTTCCTGGAGGTCCTGGCTGACCCTGTGGTGGCCTGTTTACCGTTACTTTAAATTCGTAGCCGTCAGTGCTGTATCCATCTCTGTCACGCTGAGGCATGTCTGAAAATATACATTTTGAAAACAATATTTATTTACTATAATGTGTCCGTATGTTTGAATGACCCTATAATATTTTCTCGACTGTCAGCCAGGCAGTTCTTGGGCCAACCATCGGTTAGTCTCAAATCACCCAAGTAGGTCTCGCAATTCACTAAAGGATTTTTTATCTAAAAATGACTTGATTCCGAGAAACAAGCGTTTTCGAGTTAACACGAGTTTTCGTACCATAAATATTGCTCACGCAGGATCGCACTGCCAATGACATCTGCTACAAAATGTTGAAACCGTCACTTTGAAAGTACCTACTTCGCTGTCGGACTTAATAAAACATCTTTGACATCTTCAAAGATGTGTCGAAAATAAATATTAATCAAGACTGATTTTTGTTTTATGTATGTCTTTTGATATTTAGTGCTTTATTCAATAACGGAAAATTTGATTATTATTGCATACGAACTTAATATTAATTTGATTTCCTGTCTTTTGATGTAACACAGGTCTTTATTAGGTTTTCCTTCATTACATTTTCCTTTTTCTGAATATAATAATTTTACAATTTAATTACCATGTTGGTCCAAAACTGTCCATTTTAAGACAAAGGCCTAAAGCTGTTGAAATCATTTATTGGAAGTTCAGAATGAACTAGTTCTTATTTTTTCAACAGAATCATTAACGATTATGTCAAAAGCATGCTGCTTGCCAACATTTTTTCTATTAAAAAGCATTGGAATCAAGATGCAACATAAACTAATTCATCCACAAATCAAATGTTTCAGAAGCAAGCAAAACTCAGTTTTTCAAAAGTCCAGAATCTCCCAGTGGAGAAAATTGTTCAAATTATTTGAAAAATCACTCTCATTCAAAAATGCAAAGTTTTTGTCTAGTTTTTGACATTTGTTGTAACTGTTTCGGCACAAAGGATGATATTACTTAATCATTCAAAGGGGATTGTTTCATCATGATTTCTTTCTTTTTTTTTAAAGGACTGATGAAACAAAATTGTAATAATGTCCTGTTAATATAGAATACAGGATATCAAATAAAGATTGTGATATTATAGAACTATTAATTAGTGCTGGCAAAAACTGGAAAAAAATGAAAGCGGCTAACCGGGTTCCGTAAAAACTGATTTCAGATAAAACAGGTTAGCCGAATAGTGGTTAAAACCAGATATTCTAAAATCGGTTATTCCAATAACAGGTTACTCGAATAATGGCTAAAACCAAATATCTCAAAATCGGCATTTTGAAGAGATATACTTAATGTTATACAGATATTCACATATTTTAAATTTTAATGTAAAATCTAATGTTAGTTAATGTTATCTAATGTAAAATCTAATCAATTAAAAATTAAAACAGTTACACTGTGGTTCTTTAACTTATTATTTATGGGTGTGGGTGATTGTTTTTTTTTATCAGTCTGTGTCCGTGTCCCAGGTTAAAATATAAAAATAAATTATATTTCCCTTAATAGTTTAACCCAATTTTTGTAGTAGGTTTATACTATTACGCCAATTTCATGTATTACCTTTTGAAAAATACTTAGTAAATGAAAACCCAAGTGATTTCCCCAGCAGTCGTGAACAATTTTTTTTAAACAATAAAAAATTGCAGAAAAAGAACATTTTTTAATTTTTTTTTATAATATCTTGAAAAATAATGATGGAATTGTCATACTCTCAATAGAATTTTTGTAGAGAATAAAAAAACCTATAAAATGGTTTTTTATGAGACCCGATCGGTTCATTTTTTACAGAGATAATCTAGAAAAACCACTAAAATAGACCTTTTTTCAAAAATTCGTAAACCCGTCAAATTTGAAGCTGGAATAACAATCTTGCAGAAAATGACATATAATAATATGTAGTTCAATCGTGCGCAAGATGGTTTCTGTCCGATGCATAGTTTTTGCACAATTGCATCATAAACAAAGTACGGCCTTTTTTTGCACATCGTGGCGATTTATCACAAATGGTCTGATTTAAATTCCGAAAACCGCATCTGAAAGTAGACGACAATATCTCCAATTTTTATAACTCGGAAGTTCGCCTTGGTGATGGGAAATATGCTAAAAATGCCCTTGAAAGTCGCCCGAAAGGATCGAAAGTACGCTTGAGCAGAGTTGGGTACGACACAGAAAAATGTACGGTGGATTTGATGCACTAAAGAATTGAATAATAAACGCTATCTGATTAATGAATTGTAATTTTTATTATCGTTATACCTACATCAAAAGCAATAATTCAGTATATTAAATTAAAAAGGGTGATGCTTTAAATAAACCCACCATACCCGTAGATTTTTCTGTGATGAAATCAATAATTTTCAATCTACACAAAAACAGTTAACTTTGGGTGTAGGAAACTATAGTATCATTTTAAAGTAAATATAATTGTGCATCCACTAAGTAATAATATACAGGGTGTACCATTTGAAATTTTTGAGTAAATTCAACTTGTCACAACATTGGCCACACGTTTTTCAACAGACTGTATGAATTTTTCCAAATTTGACATAAACTGGTTGAATTCCATTGCTTTTAAATTATCCATGCCAAATTTCATTAATAAATAAAGCAAAATGTCGGAGTTATTCTATATTCAAAAATGACTTACATCCCTCAATTTTTTTCGAAAATTAATAATAACTTAAAAACTGTCAAATTTTGGTACATAGTACCTTGTAAGAAAATAGTCTAGAATTTGCCGTAGAATTAAAAGATCCATAATTATACATAGTGTTCCATTTGAAATAACAGACCTGATGATGACATCCGGTATAAGCGGAAGTGCGAGGAAGTTGACACTATTTTCATTAAATAGATCTTTTTGATAAACCCCTGTATACAAATTTTCAGCTTTCAATTCTGACTACTTTTTAGGATAATCCTACTGGGCCCTCTTCGTGATACACCCGGTATAATACCGTAGTTTTTAGTCACAGAAAAGTTGCAAGCAAGTTACTAAATGTTTACTTTTTGGTTTTCAATGGAAAAAAATATTTTTACATTTCAGGGGTTTTTTATTTAAAAAATTAAATAATGTCCAAATCAACACTAACCTCGTCCATCACGCCTTGCATCGTAAGCATTCCGATCATATCTGTAATCGGGTCTTTGATCTCCGTAAGGTTGATGTGGTGGATAACCTGGATGGTAGTTTCCTGAATGACCTGGATAACCATAATTTGGCCAAGCAGCATCGTGGGGAGGGAACTGTGGCCCGGGATAGCTATGAGGAGGATAGTTTGGTCTACCATAATCTTGGTAATCATACGATGGGTTCTGTGGGGGAGGATGATATGGTCTTGTGGGAGGTACATCATGATACGCTGGGGGTGGACTCCGATTTCTTGCCCTGTCCCGAGTTTGCGACTGGCCTCTTCCTCTTGGCTGTTGGTTGTAGCTCCTCTGGTTTGCATCAGCTGCTGAAAAATATTTGCGGTTTCTAGAAAACTTAATTGATATGGTTTCCAAGAAAGAATAAACTGGGGCATGGTTTTATGCAGATTCTAGATACAGTAAAATATACTTTTCACAATTAAACCAACAACCTATCATTATATAAAGCCATTTTAATGATAACAAATTGAAACGCCAGTAAGTTTACTTTAATATATTAATTATTATTATATTAATTTAATGTTAAATTATTTGTAAATTTCATAAAAACGTAAATAAGTGATTCAATGTCAAACTCTACTTGTGGCATACTTTTTTGAGCAATTCTTCCGTACTATCACAGATAGACCCATGCTCTGACCCATGTAACCTTTATATCCAAGTCGAGCCTGTCAGAGAAGAACACAAAAGTGGAACTCTCGTCAAAATCCTTTGTTCCAGTGGAATAAAATTCTGTGACCGTCAAGCCATAATTTTGGCAAAGCAGGAAGCATAAAACAGTTGCGATATATTTTCCAATTTAAAATAGATACTTGGCGAAAGTCAATGTATTAATTTGAAAATTAAATTGTATGTATATTTAACTGCATAAAATTTAATCCATTATAGCATGGTTTTTTCACTTTCTACCTAAAATAGTTATTTACAGTACTAGTCTGTTACGGTACATATAAGTCACGCTGGGAAATGTTTCCCAAGTGACTTATATGGCGTAACACACGAGCGCCAATAAAAATTTTATCCAACACTTTCATAGAATTTCTTTTTGATAATAAATAAAAGTAACTTAAAATTTAAAGTTGTCAATGTCAGAAAAAGTAATTTAACAAAATGAATGTATTTTTAAATATTACAAAGGATGTGAGAGTAAACAAACACAATTTTTTGAGTTGAAATCACGTTGAAATCCTAAAACCAAGACTGAAAAAGTGGAAAATGTAGAAATTCCATCTGAAATTTTAGAAAAAGCTAATGCGGCTACTGCAGGCATCATTCCGGAGAAATCAAAATCTATAAGTATACAACAAAGAACTGAAGGAATTTCAAGATTGGAAAATCAAACGGGTGAAAGGCGTAAATGAAGATGTCTTGCCGGCTTATTTTTTCAATTTAAGTGAGAAATTAGCTCCATCCATATTGTGGACTAAATATTCCATGTTGAAGTCAACTTTGAGAGTTTACAAGAACATTGAAATTTCTAAATTAGGAAGACTAGTGGCATTTCTAAAGTTTAAGCACAAACATTTTCAACCAAAAAATTCCAATGTCTATGAAAGAACAAATCGAACAATTTTTGCGTGAAGCCCTAGACGAAGATCATCTTATGAATAAGATAGGTTCTACTGAATAGTTTAACTGAGTTATATTTATTAAATTTGTTGTTTTTAGGTGGCGTTGATATTAGGAGTTTTTGGCGCTTGCCGTGGCGAGGAACTGACCCATCTAAGCATAGACAATATAGAGGACAAAGGGCAGTATATCCACATCATGATTTCAAATACGAAAACGAACAAACCATGAAGCTTTGCTGTGTTAAATGAAGGATTTTGTGTTAATCCAATTGAATTAATTGAAAATATTCTAAGCCAAGGCCTCAAAATGTGCAGCATTTTGCAATTTTCAAAAGGGAAAATGTACACGTCAATGTGTTGGTATTAATAAGCTATCAAAAATCCCTAATGTTGTTGCGCGATTTTTGTGATTGACAGATTTGCTTGCAAATGATTCCGATAATGCTTTGGCATCATATTACGACTTACCATAAATATTAATGTTTCAAATAAAAACTAGAAAAATAATTTCTATGTCACTAGTGGGTTATAAATCATAACTCACTAGTGACTTATAGGCCACATTATTCTTTTAAAACCAAAGAAATTATAGTATTATATACGAGTGTTGGTACCAGCGTATTGGTGTGCTGTCTTACCGAGACATCAAAACCGTTGTGTGAGTGTCATCGCTCTTATTTCATTCAGCTAATTGTCATTAGAACGGATAAAAACTAATAAAATGGATGGATTAGGTAAAATTGCAACTAGACCAAAATTTTTAAAACAAAGGTAATTTCCAAAAAGATTTCAGCTTGATATTGAGGTGAGTTTTGCTTCTATATTTTTCTCTGTGTAAAAATATATTGTTATATTTAAAAAATAAGTTTAGGTTATATTCTTCAAACACAATGTTCAACTTCCTTTTTTTTTGAAAATATTTAATAGATTTACTATTTATCGCTGATCAAATCATGCTGAAGTACTTACATTTATTAACGTTCTTATTTTTCTGCTGAAACGTATTTTTATTCACGTTTTTATTACCCTCCTTTTTCTCTTTCTTTGTTCTGTCCTCCTCTAGTTGCTCTAACACCTCATGGACATACTCCGTGTTCTTATGCTCCTTACCACGTGACCTCTTCTGGCACTCATAAAGTTCCTTAATCTTCTTACCATTGTGTTTCAGTTTATATAATTCCTGTATACTGTCCTGAATCTTCTGAGGTGTTACCAGCGTATCGGTTTCACCGAGTTTCTTTTGTATTGCGAGGGCCTCATCGAAGGACTGTTTGGCTTCCTCGTATTCTTGCAAAACTTTTTGTAAGTGATGAATAACGGACATCTTCGACAAGACACCCAGTGCTCTCTCACTGCAAAAGAATATACCAACTGATGGCAACTCAGCAAAATTAAATACGGCCAAGTTCCGTTATAACTAAGCTGCGGGAGTAAATCGTAAATTCCAGAGTTGTATTTTGTTTTTATTTAACAGATATAATATATTGTCACACAGTAGTGTAATTTGGAAAAAATCCATAACGAAAAGTAGGACACATTTTTAGCGATTACTAAAAAAATCATGTTGAAATGTAAATTGAATTGACAGTGTCCAGCTATTAAGTTTTAAGACTGATTTTATTGTGGCGAAATGCGTGGCGCTATCTATGTGCAGTCAACAGAACTGCGCGGTGGGAAGCCTTCCGAGCGTTTGAAAATTTCATCAGTATACGTGTATGCACCATGTTATAACTGTGTACACATATATTTATTTATTATCTCTTTTGATACGTCACAGTTATAACCAGTGGCGGCTCATCAGGTGACGTTAAAATTATTTTTATCTTTTTTTATAATTTAGGTATAATTCCATACTGAAAATGTATTGTGTTTGTTTGTTTAGTACGCAGAAATAAACAGAATAGTGAAAGCTTTCTAAAAAAACATGGCCTTCGTTGAGCACGAACATCAACCTCGTACCATACAACATATAGTATACGCAAGTGATGCAGATCGAAATCAGTCTGTATTCTGCTTCTCTTCGAAGCGCTGTTTATGGCGGTTGTCATGGCAACGAGGCGGCCAACACAGGAATAAACTACGGCGTGGGGGAACGAGTGACGCAGAAATTGAAGCAGCATTGTCATCGCCCATCGCCTGCCTTTAAACAGTTTATACAAGACACGTCGCCCAGTGCATGATTATAACGGTTCTTAGTTAATATTTGTTTTGTATTATAATTGTAGAAATGTTTCCTATGTATGATCCAGTATGTATTTTATTGGAAACGCCATTTTCCAGGTGGAAAAATAAGGACAAAAGGGATTTTTTAAATTGCGAGAGACCTGTGCCTTATTCTCTTGATATGGAAAAACGGGGAAGTCAAAAGACAACATGTACGTTCGAAAGTATTCGGAGTATAAGTGGTTGTGTGGAAGTGTTTATTTAAGTCTGTTCTGGAGTTGTGGGGAGGGTAGCAAAGCTAAAGCACTTAGGCCCCATTGGGCCACTTATACTTCCTCCTATTAGAGAGATCAATCCACCCGAGCTGCCAACTAGCCTATTACATTGAAAAAGGTGGTGACATTGCTCAGGATGATCTCTCTAATGTAGGCCATTGAAGGCCGCCGAAGTGTATATTTAAAAAAACTTTTCTCTACTTTGTGTTTAATTGTGGATGTAAAATCGGGACTGTGGAATAAGGAGGGATTTAACAATTTTGGGAACGTCACGCGAGGCTGTCGTAACCACAAAGCTTCTTTGGAACATACATGTGCGTTAATGTTCGCAGAAGTCCACAAGCCAAACTAATATTTCTATTTCTTTATAAAATCTAAATGAAAATCCTTCTCACAAACGTCAGTTTTTCGGTAATATTGCAAATTCAACTAAAAATTTCCAGATTCATTTAAAGCAATTTGACTTTGAAAGCTTTCGCCTGCGGCGCTTTTTTTTTTCAATGAATAAGCTTCACCTATTCTCAATGTTACGTGCTGCCACTGGTTATAACCCAAATTGACTGTCTGTTTCATGTTAAGAAAACAAAATGGCCTGAAAATTTAAAGAAAAACTTACCGTATAATCAAATATTCAATATATTCCTTATAAGAATCGCTGAACGGTGTGATGGCATTATTCTGCAAGAAATGTGCAAATCTAGCACATGCTTTGATAATTGTGCTGTGCTCCTTCTGTAGTTCATCTTTTTTTATAGAAATATCTTGTATCAACCTCCTAACGTTCCGCAAAATCGTCTCTTTACTGTCTATATTTTGTTTTATATTGTTGTCGATTATTTTTCTATCTACCGTTTTTGTTAGAAAATACACATGCATATGCACTGAAAAATCACACTGACATTGTATGCATGCTTTTGTGGAGCGGTCGATAGCGGCGCAATTTACCAGTTCAGGACTGCCTATTATTTCTTTAGGAACATTTGTGAGATAACAGGGATCGTGGCATCTTTGTTTATAATGCCATTTATGCATTTCTCCTACCTAAAAGAAAATAAGTTTTGTTTGTAGATATTAAACATGAAAATTAATTTTTGCAATGGCTTGTTAGTAATGAGTGAAAAATAATCAGCAAATAACATGTAATAATGATCTGGAATAAGTAAATAGAAACCGATGTATTAATTACTATTTTGTAATGTTGCAATTTTAAAGATATTTTTTTGTTCCCAAATTTCAATTTAAAAAAATATTAGTGTAGTAGTACCATTTTTGACATAGAAACTTACCTTATATATTTCCGCACAACCTTTGCTAGCACAGACTGTAACAGGTTGAGTTAATTTTATTACATCTAAATCGATAACGGGCATGTACAGTTTTTGCCTCAATTCTTCTAAAGTGCTAGAATTCAAATCTAAATCCTCCTCATGCCTTCGCAGAACAAATAAATTGTCATTGATAAGTTGAGATATTTCAGCAAGTGGCTGAGACAGCTGCACAATAAGTCTACGGGCTTCATTGATCGCAGTTGTGCTTTTTATGAAATGTGGCTTCAGCGGAGGCTGTTCTGAATCTCCCACAATGTACTTTATTAACCTGAAACAAAAAATTAGGTTTTTATACTGCACATTAACTCTTGTGTACTTTGCCACTGGGAGCTTAAACCGGGTCAACTAGAGTCAGCATATTGTTATATTCCTGCATTATCAGCTTTGTCAGTTGTTTTTACAACTTACCGACATGTTATATTAAATAAATAAAAGGAGTTTATGTTTTAAAATAATTTTGGTTTATTATATTACAAAGCTATTATGAAAACAAAACAATCTGTGGTTCTTATTAACATTAATTATAAATAAAATAATCTCTTAAAAGTCCTGCTACAAAAACCTTACTCACCCTGTATATAGTGTGTAACTAAATTGTTTAGCCAAACGTTAAGGGCTTATTCTGCATTAAATTAACAAAAAAAAGTTCTACATATCTGCAAATTTGTTACATACATAAAATATGACTCACTTCACTATTATGACAGAATACTGAAGGCTTTACAAAACTGATTTCTTATTGTATATTGCTCATAAAACGATAAAATGTTAGGCTATGTTTAAATCATTTCTGCTAAAAGTGTCGAAACATCAAGTTATTTTTTAAATAAAAATATGCAAATAACCGTGTTAATATATGTATGAAAATAGTATATTGTGCAATAAGTGCGGTAAGTTGTCTATTGCCCATGAGAGCGGAGTTGAGCGCTCATCGGCTCAAGTGGGCAATAGACAAAGAATTCATTATCTGTATCTGTATCACTTTCTGGTACAGCTGTACGACTTTTAATCATGTTTTTACAGAATTTAATTTATTGATTTTCAGATTTTTATTCAGTTTAGGTTGACATAAATAACTATCAACTGTTATTTAAATGTAACTTTTTTAAAAATAATATTTTCGAGTGTTTTTTTTAATTATTCATTAAATGAAAAATCAAGAGATGGTTCTAGCAGAGATTTCGGGTAGTTTATTTAAATTTTACGTGTTTTATTGTCAATTCACGGACGACAAGTGTGACTACTACACGTAAATAAATAGAGTAGCTATTTACTATTCTAAAAATAAGCAAAAAGATAGGACTTATCCCTCATAAGTAATAAAAAAAAGTATTACTTATATGGCTTCCCCTAATTGATTTTTTCAATTTAAAATAAACCACGTTTTCATTAATATTGTACACCTTGTATCTCAAGAAAAAAACATATCCGGATACACAGGAACTTTATTGTGTTTGCAAAATTTGTCATTAAAATTTGATCAAGTATTTTAGTTACAACCTATACATTCTTTCCACATAACAGAAAAATAATCTATTCAATTAAACATTAATATGAAATAAAAATTGACTTACTTGTTGCACTGTTCAGCGGAACGCTTCCAACTCTCCAAATTTCTTTGTTTTATCGAATTTTCAAATTCGATATTTTGTTTAATAGCAGCCAAATACCGGAAAGCTTCATTGTCAAAACAGAACACGTTCTTGCTCAGGGGAATGTCCACGTGTGGTGGCCTCGATTTTATATCATTAATAACCTTTTGCAGACTCGGAAAAGTCTCACCAGGTCCATAATCGGTACCTCTGGTATTTGTGAAAATAAAAATGATATTTTTACTAGCCGATTTATCTAGACGCGAGAGAATCTGAGTCATGCAATATTCAAAATAAACTGTTATCCTAGGATTTGTCGGTTTGAAAAGGTAGCAAACCGCATGTAATTCATGAAGTTGTCCGATGTAACTGAGAATATTGTCACAGTTTATGTTATCCTGCTCGATACCCCTAACGTCGCCAATTCCTGGAGTGTCGATCAATCGGACTTTTAGTGTACCACTCCATATAGGGAACACATATGATTTTACATCTTGGGTTGCCGACATCCCAGTATCAAGACATTCATTTTGATCATTTTCAGACCCAATCTGGACTACATGAGATTTACCATGTTTGTCCTGCACCTTGCACTTCGAAGGTATCAACTTCAACAAATCCTCTTTTTCTGCCTTTTTAAAATCAGCATGTTGTAAATAATTTGCAATGGAATTTATAAATGTGGATTTTCCTACTCCTGTTTCGCCAAGTAGTAGAATGTTTATAAACGTATCATCTTTGATTTTAAGATTCTTAGTCTGTTTTGATAAATCATCTTTGGATGTCATTTTTCGATTGATCTACAACAAGCAAAAATTTTGGTGTAAGTATAATAAATAGATTTTTATATGCATCTGTCTTTACAACAACCAAAAATATTCCCTACTTCTTACATGTTTGAGGTTTCATTTTCACTTTTTATACAGGGTATCTGGTAAAAAATAGACCAAACTTCAAGAATAGCTCCTTTGGTTGAGAATAAACTGATTTATTAGATCATCACTCTGGTACAATAATTTTGTTGCACTAGAAGGTTTATTATTTAATTCTTTTATTTCCACTATTTTGAAAATATTTCAATAACATTTAATATAGGAAAGTTTTTGAGGTAGCCAAATATGAAGCAAATTTTTTAACTAAAACATTAATATCGTCAAATTTCAAAAAACATTTGTGTTTCCTCAAAATCTCTAAAAACAGAACAAAATTGGCAAAAAAGCAAGACTGTTTAAAGTTTCTAGGTATATTTTAGATAAAAATAGGCTCACATTTATATTTTGCATCATATTTTTTCTACCTCAAAATTTGCCTTGTAATTTTTTATGGAATCAAAATTGTACTAAGGTAACTTGATCTAACTCAGTTTATTTTGACAAATATGCTTGAAGATTGTTTTTTTTTCAAAGAACATCATCCTGTATAAGATATGTTTTTTTTAAACTTGATACTACATTTCAAGCAATGATTGTGTACTTGAAATTAAAGAACCTATAACGTACTTATTTATCTCTATGTACATACATATCTAATGCATATATCAACACAAACAGACATAAATAAATAAGTATAATAACATGCACTTATAATTTTCAAACATATCACTTGAAGAATTTAGCAATTCAAAATGTGATACAATTACCTATTTCATTAATCACTATAAAAAAATAGAATTACCTAAAACTTTTTTGTAAAACTGAAAGGTGTTTAAACTTGTGTTGTATTGTTTAGTTTCTAAATCAATATTTTGATGTGATAAAACATCAAAAGGCATCAGACTAAAGATAAATAATTTTCAAATAATAATATTCAGTTATCTATTAATCCTTGGCAACAAATGCTTTTATCTACTGTTGTTACCATTATTGCTCAGATAAAAATTATTAATTTTATTTAACCTTGAAACAACTTGATGTGGTTTCACCAATTATTTGTTATCACACGCATTAATTATCTACACACTTATAAAATGAAAATGAACAAATAAGGAATATTTATAACCTGTCAAATATAAATAAAAAAAATTGTAATAATCTATATACAATATTTGACTAATATTTTTAACATTTTTGCCAGAAATAGAATCTGTTATTTATATTTCAGTACCTACCAGCAACAAAATCTTATGAAATTGGTTTTAGGTTAAGTCTATAGGCATAGGTTATACTTCCCTCTTGCCTCTTGCAACTCCTTTGTTAGGTACTATTAATAGAATAGGTAGGTATTGAGCTTGATATTAGACATAAACAAAAATAAAAGTTAAAATCTCATAATAAATGGAATAAAAATGAAAAGAAACTTTTATAACTAATTTAATTACTTACCTGCTGTTGCTGATGCACTAATTTCAAAAAATGCTAGCTACAAAAATAAATTTCAACGAAAGTATATTACACTCAAAGTGAAATAATCTGATATTCTGATATACTACGTCTTCTATACAACGAGTTCTATTTTAATAGAATCCCTACGTGTGAAAACCCAATTTCCTGCTGTGGCAGGGGAATCACGTAAGTTTGAACTTTGAAGTGCGAAAACAACGTGAAATTATCTGTATCTCAAACAGAACACAAAACCGTAACTAGCCACAATGCTCACTAGGCATTTCATAGATTGGCAAGCATCTTAAATTATTAGCATACCGTAATGTAGCTTTAGAACCTTTTATTTAAGAATCTCCTTAAAGTTATTTTATATCGTAAAAGCTATTGCTCATAGAAATTACATTAATATTATAATTGTAACGAATTAAATCACAACGTAACGTTGACGTTACCTTTGCTTACGCTGGGACAATATTGACCTTCGAGCATTCACTACCGGAGGTAGCACGCCATTGCGAAAAGTGTGGCTAAGTGTGCGAGAGAGACAGAGAATAGCTGAGTATTTGCTGTCCCACTCTAGCACGCCGCGATTGGTTGGAGCATGCATTTCCAACCAATCGTGGCGTGCTAGAGTGAGACAGCAAATACTGAGCTACTGTTGGTTCCTGTCGCACACTCAGCCACACATTTATTTCGCAATGACATGCTATCTCCATTCTCCAGTAGTATCAAAGATTAATTTATCCTCTTTGGAGTATATGCTCGAAGATGTTGACATAGAAATTTTCTATACTGTGTAAAAACCAAATCGGGCAGAAAATTTAAATTGCTCAGAAGTATGTACTTTTCCAAAAACTATTTGTTTCTGTTTTTACTAATGTCTTCTACAAATTGTAAATTTATTAATATAGGTATGTACCTCATATGTATGTACTACATGGAGGAAGCACCACGTGTTAAAAATGTAGGTAGACCGCAGACCTTGTCGAGTGAAAGGCATAGATAATATAGTACTAAACTATACTCGGCGGCCGAAATTATAAAGAGTGACTAAGGTCACAAATATAGAATAAGCTTTTTTAAGTTTAAGTCACAGAACATCCCTAACTGCCCTAACAGCTAACAGCTCTTACACACGAGCGTTGTTTTACCGATCGGCAGCCGTCCGTCACACTTGCCGGCAACGATTTTGTGTGTAAAGATGTATTTACCAAAGTAGGTAACTTTGTGTAAATTAAAAATTTATCGGTTATTTTGCCGATCGGTGTACAAGAGCCGTAACTGGTGTGGTTACTCACTCTATAGATAAACGAGTTATACATATACATAGTAGGTATTTGTTCTAAAGTATTCCTACTGGTACTGGTACTGGTAAATAATAAATTAAATATGCAGCTGTAAAGACAATGAGTAAAAATTAAATAAATTATTATCACCTATTTATTTGAATTTATATTTATATAAAAAAAATGTGAGACATGTCATTGACATGTTTTGTGTCAATATGTTTACAACAAATACAGACATTTCATAAATGATTACAAACCACGTGACTATTTTTTTTTTTTGAACCATAATTTGATTGTACCGATTTTAAACAGCTCTAGCTGATTTACTTTTACCTAATTAAAAATTTCACTTCTTACATTATCGTTAAAAATCAGCATTTAAATTAATCACAGTTATAGCTATAAACACATTTCCGTCTAAAATCTGTTAAAAGCGTTTCTGAATTGCTCTTAAGGAGTACCTCATATGCATTGGAAAGCATTTTTTTGTAAACGTTTGAAGGCAAATTTATTTCCTGTAGTATTGACAAGACCTTGTAGGCTTCAATTTTTTTAGCTTGCTATCAATTGTCGACCTATTTATTAGAGTACATTTACGCTTTCGGCCTATATATTGAAATTTGGGGGCTTCAACAGTTTAAGCTCCCAGATAATGACTAAATCCATATATCTAGTGTCTAGAGTCAGCACATTCACTTTGCTTCGGTACCTGCACTTTTCTCAGTTCTTATAAATTGAAACTAAGTTTTTCTATACGTAAACAAGAAAAATTCCCAAATCGTAAAAATTAAAAATATATAAATTTTTGGAAAATATCTATTTTAATCAAGTCTGAACCATCTGTTAGCATTTTAAGATTGTTAATTTTGTGGTCTCACCCGTTTTAAAAACATTTAAAATATAATTTGTTGTATGGAAAAGGGTTCAAAATGTAAATGTTTTTCAATAATCTTTATTAATAATATCTATATATTTTTATCTTATACATCTGCATTATCAGAAAATTTAGAACAAAGTCCTGGAATGTCTTGAGGATTTCTTTGAAGTTTATTATAAGAACACCGTTTGCAACTGTGCCCTTGTAGATCGTGTAAACAAAATTGGAGCGGGGAAAAAAACTCCTCGTTTGCTGGAAGTGGAGACTCGTATCCAGCTCGGGCTGCTTCCATTTCCTCGTTGTTGTCAATCTGGCTGTGAGTTGCTGTTATAATAAAGAACGGTAAATGTGCTTATACAGGGTGTCCCGAAATTTATGCAACAAAATTTGGTCACAGATTCTTAGGACAAATTTAGGCGACCAGTATTTTTTATTTTTGCCAAATGGCCCCCTCTTTAGGAGTTACAGCCCCCTGAAGTCCACCCCTAAGAATAATCTTTTTTTTATATCTCAGAACCCTGTTGTATGAGAATCACTAAATTTGGTACACAGGGGTTTTATGACATGTGGAATCTGATGGTGCGACGATTTTTGGTGGGGAATCCCCATAAGACAATTTTTCGTGGGCCCCTTGTCTTTGGAGCCAAAAAAGTTTGGTCCCATATTTAAATTTCTTAAAAATTATCAGTCCACTAGAAAGCCATTAAATTTAGAAACTTTTTGTCTTTATACTTTTTTCGTAAAATGCAATGTTTTCGAGAAAAAAGTCAAAATGTGATCGAATGCATATCATGATTCGCCATTTTCTTCAAAAACATTGCTTTTTACGAAACAAATATCAAGAGATAAAAAAGTTTCTAGATTCAATGGCTTTCTAGCTAACTAATAATTTAAAAAAAAATCAAATTTGCGACTAAATTTTTCTGGTTCCAAAGACAAGGGTGCCCACGAAAAAGTGCCTTAAGAGGGTTTCTCGAAAAAAAGCATAGCACTGTGAGATTCCACATGTCATAAAACTCCTGTACATGGTTTTGAGATATAAAAAAGACTTCTTTAGGGGCAGATTTCAGGGGGCGGTAACTCCGAAAGAGGGGGCCATTTGGCAAAAAGAAAAAATACGGGTCCCCTAAATTTGTCTTAAGAATCTATGACCAAATTTTGTTGCATGACTTTCGGGATACCCTGTATACAGGTGTCTCATAAATTAATGTCCAATAATTTACCACTTGATTCTATTGCAAAAAATAAGAATATATTTTCCTATAAACATGGGTCGAGAAATGCTTCCTAAGGGAGCTATGCCCCCCTAAATGGGGCCTCAAAAAATATACAGGGTGGTCGCGATGTAATGGGCCAAAATTCATGACTAGATTGCTGACGTGAAAATATTGCGATTTAGACAAACTCACCTTAGTCCAAAAATTGATACCTACAGAGATACAGGGTGTTTAATGCAAAATATTATTTTAGTTTTTTCTTATTTATTTCATAATAAATGCTCATATCGAGATGAAATTTTGGTGTTAGGGGTTTTTTGGGGCGAGAGATTGAAATATATCCATGGTTTGCTTGTAGCTCATAGAGAGCGCCACCTGCGCTAGGTCGAATGCNTGTTTATTCGTTTTACTGCGGCGTCTTTGAAAATACTCAGGTGGCATGACATAACATTCCTATTATTTGATAAGGTTTAGATTATTCAGTTGTTAAATGTTTGAAATTATTTGTCTTTGCGGAAACACTATTTAAAGAATATGGGGCCCTTAAGACAATTTTTCGTGGGCCCCTTGTCCTTGGAGCCAAAAAAATTTGGTCCCATATTTAAAAATTTCTTAAAAATTATCAGTCCACTAGAAAGCCATTAAATTTAGAAACTTTTTGTCTCTTTATACTTTTTTCGTAAAATGCAATGTTTTCGAGAAAAATGTCAAAATGTGATCGAATGCATATCATGATTCGTCATTTTCTTCAAAACCATTTCGTTTTACGAAACAAATATCAAGTGATAAAAAAGTTTCTAGATTCAATGGCTTTCTAGCTAACTAATAATTTAAAAAAAAATCAAATTTGCGACCAAATTTTTCTGGTTCCAAAGACAAGAGGGCCCAAAAGTGCCTTAAGAGGGTTTCTCGAAAAAAAGCGTAGCACTGTGAGATTCCACATGTCATAAAACTCCTGTACAACATGGTTTTGAGATATAAAAAAGACTTCTTTAGGGGCAAAAAGAAAAAATACGGGTCTCCTAATTTTGTCTTAAGAATCTATGACCAAATTTTGTTGCATGACTTTCGGGACACCCTGTATACAGGTGTCTCATAAATTAATGTCCAATAATTTACCACTTGATTCTATTGCAAAAAATAAGAATATTTTTTCCTATAAACATGGGTCGAGATATGCTTCCTAAGGGAGCTATGCCCCCCTAAATGGGGCCTCAAAAAATATATTTTTTTTTAATATTTCCGAAACGGGTTGAAGGAAAATTATGAATTTTGACACCATGAACGCTCATTAAATGTCGAAATAGGTCATTATAAAATTTTTCAAAAATTTCAGTCAGGGGTGTCTCAATTGGGGGGTCGTCAGCTAAAATTTGCCCCTACTGTTTTGTTTGTCGAAATTTTCAAATTCAGATGTCAACATAATTTGATATATCTTCATTTCCTCTACAAAAAAGGTACTCTTTATTTCTTTTGATAAAATGCTCCATTTCTGAGAAAAACGGATTTAAGCATTTCATTACATTATCTTAATAAAATTCAAAAATCTTTTTTTGAATAGCTAAAATGGGTACATGTACCATTATGAATTTTAATATGTTATCATTCCATTATAATATAAAAATAGTATACTACTTGTGACGACTGAAATTCTATTGTAAACTCAATAATAATATGATGTATACAGTACACGCCTAAAGTATGGAATAAATTAAGTAAAAACGAAACAAATTTTTTTTGGGAAAAATCCTCGAACAGGTCGATGAATGTAATGACATTATCTTAATAAAATTCAAAAATTTTTTTTTGAATAGCTAAAATGGGTACATGTACCATTATGAATTTTAATATATTATCATTCCATTATAATATAAAAATAGTATACTACTTGTGACGACTGAAATTCTATTGTAAACTCAATAATAATATGATGTATATAGTACACGCCTAAAGTATGGAATAAATTAAGTAAAAATGAAACAAATTTTTTTTGGGAAAAATCCTCGAACAGGTCGATTTTTAATTTAAAAAATACATATTTTAGCATATAAGGCGATTTTCAACCATCATTTGTTTTGGAGCAATGACATTATCGACATTTTTTTTAAATATATATTTTTTCTTGATTCTGAAAGATCGTTTCATTGTCGATCCGACAGTATTAAAATGTTGCCATCTTACAGAGGAAAGTTTTCGAGTAAATGACGATTGAATGTTAAAAAACGTAATTTTATTCATTCATTAAGTTTTCTACCTAAATTAAGTGTTCGAATTGCCACCCACTGACTTCTTGACAATACGCAAGTCTGTGTAGAAATTCTTCTTGCACATTATGAATTATTTCTGGGGTAACTCTGTGTATGTCATCTATAATACAATTTTGGAGTTCTTTTAAATTATGTGGTCACTTTGGACTTTAAGTAGCCCCATAAGAAATAGTCCAGGGGTGTAAGATCTGGGGATCTCGTGAGCCATTCTACTGGTCCTCGTCTGCCGATCCACCTCCTAGGAAAACAATTGTCCAGAAAGTCTTGAACAGGGCGCGCATAGTGCAGAGGTGCACCGTCTTGCTGAAACCATATGGTGTCATCAGGAATATCAGGGCCATTATCGTTAGCGCTGGAACAAGGTCATTTTGTAAAAACTCTAAATATCTTTCTCCTGTAAGGATTCCTTCAAAGAAGAAAGGCCCTACTATTCTGTTGTCAACTATTCCAGCCCACACATTTCTGTGGGTGTTTGGTATGTGTCTCTGCTATCCAATGAGGATTTTCCCGACTCCAATACCTGCAAGTTTGACGGTCCACTGTATCATGAGACAAAACGTGGCCTCGTCTGAAAAAAGTATTTGCCAGTGTAAATCTCTATTTACTTGACATAAATCCATCATAATTTCACAAGAGTGTAAGCGGCGGTCGGGATCGTCTTCATTGAGTTCCCGCACAAGATGATATTTTTCCTGCCTCAGGATACGTAGCACTGTGGTCTGACTAATTTCATTGTTTACTGCAACCAATCGTGAAGTATTATGAGGATTATCTACCATACTTATCAAAATGTTCTGTTTGTGATCTTCATTAACGCTTGGACGTCCAGGTTTTGGAATATCTACAACATTGCCAGTTTCTCTAAATTTAGATTATATCTTACTGACTGTTGATTGGCTGATACGGCGATCTGGATGTTTTTCATTAAATAAATCGCAAACTTTTCTGCTGTGTTCTAGTCTTATCCCCGCATCCGATAAGAATTATAATTTCAATTCTTTGTGTGCCAGTTAAATGTGCCGTAATACTTTAAATTCAATAATAATTTTTATATCGCTTACAATATTTAGAAAATCGATATGACAGTGACATTTTGTAAATACACCTACGTGATCCATAAAAAACTTTACAGGCATTTCGAAAAACTAAATTTGATAACGTTTTTGCTTTATTTTAATTGATTTGGGTTTTCTAACATTCAATCGTCATTTACTCGAACACATTCCTATTCCTGGCAACATTTTAATACTGTCGGATCGACAATGAAACAATCTTTCAGAATCAAGAAAAAATGTCGTCATTTCTCGAAAACAAATGACGGTTGAAAATCGCCTTTTATGCTAAAATATGTATTTTTTAATTAAAAAATCAACCTGTTCAAGGACTTTTCCCAAAAAAAAATTTGTTTCGTTTTTACTGAATTTATTCCATACTTTAGGCGCGTACTGTATATTATATAAGTTAGCGCAAAAAGGGATCAAGCTAGGGAACAGTGCACTTCTCACAAAAGATCAAGGCATTCAAGAGGTTAATAAGTTCAACTAATAGGGAGACAGAGACAAGTTACTTAAATAGGAAGTTTACTGTAATAATATCCATTGTCTAGTATGTCACGAGATGATAACAATAATGGTGTACTGTTTGAAACAGTATTTTGAAAATTAAATAAAAATTTATACGAGATAAATTTTTGATCATATTACATTTTGCCTGTAATTTATAGATGTCAGAATTTATGATAAGCAAATATTCTTTTTTTAAGTTGTAACTTTGGCACCCTGTATTGTAAAAAAGAGAGTCTAAATGAAAACTGGCATAAGAGGCATTATTTTTGCCCAGACTCTATGGTTAACAGCTTGACCTACTTATTGTAACACCCTGTATAACTTTAAATTCAGCAACTCATTTAGCAATAAGAGTTTTTAGCATTAAAAAACAACATGTACGGTTTGGCACAGTTGACCGGCCGATTTTTCTTATACTTACCTGGAAGTTCAATATCTGCATTTGGAATGTCTTGGGAATGACTTTGAGATTCATCAGGGGGAGGATATTCCATAGAATTATCTTGGTATTGTGGATTCTGAGTGTTCTCAGGAACTTGGCCTGTGAGCAATAGTTCTTTTACTGAACGAGGACTTTGGGGCGATTTTGTACTCTGAGCTGCAGAAAAAAAATTATTGAACTGTCACAAATGTAAAGTAAAATGTACCTAAAATAATGAAATCGTGAAAAAAATTGCCTTGCAGGGTTCATAGTTCAAAAGTAATATAGAATTCCCCGACTATTTCAGATTTTCCCCGACATAAAAAAAATCCAAATCACTTGTAGTTCATTTTTACATACTATAATTGGTGTTTATGCATTAAACTTTTTCTAGACTGGACTCCATAATCTTTTTTTAAACCCAAAGAACATCTTATAAAGGTTTAAAAAACACAAATAGTTTTCTCTTTCAAAAACTCAGGGTTGGCTTTCACAAAATTTCCAGTTGCAAACATCAAATTCCCTGACTTTCATGAGTACAATTAAAATTCCCTGACTATTCCCTATTTTTTATGAAGAATAATGAATTCCCGGTTTTTCAAGTCGCTACGAACCCTGCCTTGTATCGTTTTATATTTGCATGAAATTATTATTTAACTGGAATTAAAAAAAATAAACGAATTTGATGGACATGATGTGTTAAACTATATTTTAATTGTGCTGTCTACTAATACGAAGTTCAAAATTATGCACTGTCACAAATGTAAAGCGAAATGAAGTTAAAAGAATGAAATTGTGATAAAAAAAATTCAAAAACGTACAGGGTGTTCCATTCAAAAAAATATTAGTTTGTCGCACTTTTTAGGAACACTACTAAGTACTAATCGTCATAAAAAGGTCATCATTATTTCTTGGAACAATTTTCATATTTAATATTTTGCCTTAAATAAAAAGTTAATTGTTATTTATAACCAATAACCAACTAGATAAATTTTTTATTATATTACAATTTGCTTGTGACAATGTCGAAATTTATGATAAGCTTTCTACAAAGATTTTTTTTAAGTTGTAATTTTAATACCCTGTATCTTAAAAAAGAGAAGCCTAAATGAAAACTGCTAGCATAAGAGGAATTATTTTTGCTCAAAGACTCTACGGTTAACGGCTAGACCTGCGCTACTGTAAAACTATATAAGTTTAAATTTAGTAATAAGAGATTTTAACATCAAAAAACAGCATGTTGTGGTTGACACAGTGACAGAAGTACCTGAAAATTCAATGTCTGGATTTGGAATGTCTTGGGAATTACTTTGAGATTCATCAGGAAGAAGATATTCCATGGAATTATCTTGATATTGTCGATTCTCAGAACCAACTTGGCCTGTGAGAAATAGTTCTTTATTTTCTGAAGGAGGACTTTGGGACCATTTTTTATTTTGAGCTGCAGAAAAGAAAAAGATTTAGTGAACAATCACAAAGGTAAAGTGAAATGTGTAGCTAAAAGAGGATAAATGACTTACACTTCTTTTTTCCTTTTCCCTGGTTGAATAACGAAAACACCTTGTGAACATACTCCTTGGATTTATGTTCTCGAGTACGTGATTCTGTTTGACACTCACAAAGTCCTTTGATCTTCTTACCATTATGCTTCAATGTGTACAACTTCTGTATGTTTTCTTGAATATCCTGTGGTGTTATTAATATATTACTGCCAGTTTTCTTTTGCAGTGAGAGTAACTCATCAAAGAAACGCTTAGCTTCTTGATATTCTCTTAAAGTTTTTTCCAGATGATCAACAATGGCCTTTTTTGCTAATTGTCCCAAAGATTTCTCACTGCAGAAAAAAGGATATTTCAGACAAATTGAAATGTTTTTTTTCTTAATATATGATTTGTTTGACCATTGATTATATAAACTGTTAGGAAATAGTATACTCAAGGGATTGATACAGTACATGTTAAAAATCTTACCGTGTAATCAAGTATTCAATATATTCCTTATAAGAGTCACTGAATGGTGTTGTATTATTCTCCAGAAAATGTGCAAATTTAGCACATGTTTTTATAATTACATTATGCTCCTCATCAAGTTCATTTTTTCTTGTAGAGATATGTTTTATTAACTTTTGGGAATTTTCCAATACTGCTTTTTTGTTATTTATGTTTTTTTGTATGTTTTTATCAACTACTTTGTTTTCCACCGTTTTTGTCAAATAATAAATGTGCATGTGTGTGGAAAAGTCACACTGGCACTGTATGCAAGCTTTTGTAAACGAATTAATAGCTGAACAATGTAGTAATTCAGGGCTTCCTATTATTTCTTTAGGGACATTTCGAAGAGAACAGGGATCGTGGCATATTTGTTTGTAATGATATTTATTAAGTTCTCCTACCTAAAAGTAAAAGATTTTGATTTAAACAAATAAATACAGTATAACCTCCTAATAGCAGACATCTACTGACAATCCTAAAATGTCCATTATATACAAGTATTTCTTATATAGAGAGGAAGCAAATAATAATATAATACATTTATCAAAATGCATAAAAAAATTAAATAGCATAAACTTACTACGAATGTAACTAAAAATATGGGAAAAAAACAACAATAATATCCCTACAAACATATAGGCATTTAAGAATATACACACAATCTTCCAAAGATCTATTGCTTATTTTAAATAATCTTTAACTGCCACTTACTTTGCTCTTTTCCGTTTTGTGTTAACTATTTCTGATTTGTATTTAAGTGTAGAAGTTGACAAATATTCTTAGTGATGTTAAAATTGCTAAAGCTCAAAAAACAACTATTTTAATATTTTATGTGTTTCTGAAATTCTTAAAATAGTAGCTACAAGTTCCTCATCTTCAAAGTCAGTTTTGATTTGATCGCATCAATACAATCAATAACAAATATGTATTTGAATTTGAACTTATTAAATCATCATTAAATATTGAGTATGTTTTTAAATTAATCTCATTAATAATGCTAATGGTATATCCTCTTCTATATCACATTTACTTATATCACTATTACACAGGTTAAATCCATATTTTAACAAAGTCACTTGCCTGAATTAAATGATACAGTAAGTATATCCACACATGTGTGAACTGAAAAAATTATCCACATTCACATTTTCTAGTAGGACTAGAATCGATAAAGTCGTCACTTCAAAAATTTCGTAAAATGAATCAATGGTGCTTCATATGTCTTCGACTGTTTTTAGTTTAGCATAGATTGATAGCAAATAAGTAATTATAACGAGCGAAGATCCCAGATTCATTCGTCACCCCATACAGGGATGAAATGAACTACATTACATAAAAAAATGCTCAATGCTCCATTATAATGTGCAGTTAAATTTTTATTTTATCACAGATTGACAGGTCCATTTCCATTAGTTAGCCCGTACGGGGGAATGAAATGGGGTGAATTTCATAAAAAAATTTGTTACTTCGTTATAATGTGCTTTCAAGTTTTTATTTTACCATATATCGACAGGAAATAAGTACTTACTTATTTCGTGTGGATCTATGGTAAAATAAAAACTCAAAGGCACATTATAACGAGGTATCAAATTTTTTCTCCCCATTTTATCCCCCTCATACGGGCTAACAAATGAAAGTGGGACCGTTTATTAATGCAATTACTTATTTCCTGTCAATCTCTGTTAAAATAAAAATTTAACGCCACATGGTAACAATGTGTCAGATTTTTTTATGTAATGTTGTTTATGTAATGACTAATGAGTCTGTGAACATTTTTTTTTAAATATCTCTACTCATTCTAACCACAAGAATTAGCCCAGAAGTCGGAGAGTTGTATGGGAGAGGAGGTGGCATATTATTATTATCAAGCAGGCTGCATTGCTAATTATAATTACTTATTTTCTATCCGTCTATGGCAAAATAAAGACAGTTGAAGATACATTATAAAGGAGTAATGATTTTTTTGTTACGAAATTTTTGAGACGACGACTCTATCGATTCTGGTCCTACTAGATAATGTGGATATGGATAACGTCACACCTGTTATATTCACTAATCAGATTCTGTTTCCTCTGCTTGTTATTAACAGGTAATTTTATACATATTTTTGTGTCTTGGTGAAAAATAGTGTATAATCCATTTTATAGAGGGTTGATTATTAAGAAATGGTATTATTAAGGATTGCATTGCAAAATCCGGTGAAACCAAAATTGATCGTGAGGTGTCCCCGTGTATTTTCAATACCTTAAGGTTTGATGGCTAGATCTACTACAAATGAAAAATGACAAAAAACTTAAAAAAAATGATCACTGAAAGTCCGCAAAATATATTCCCTATATACATAAAATTTATTATAAAGTGGGAATATCCGACTAGGAAAAAATGTTTTTTTTTTAATTTTTTTACTCATCACAAATTTTGTAATCTTAAGAACATTTGTGTGTAAATTTCATATTGAAATTCCAATAATTGTGGAAGTTATGGGCAATTTATCAGAACGCGGTCGAGCAGCCGGCTGCCCGTTGCACAGCCTGGCCCAGACTCTTTTGTCAGTGTCTAGCAGGTATTATTATAACAGTCTGTCTAGCTAGAATGTCATTCTACCATCAATGTGCAGCAGTGAGCAACATTTATTATTTTGTGCAACGTTCTGTGAAAGTTGTGAAATGGATAGCAGAAAAGATAGCACGAAATGCTGATCAGCATTGCAATATTGAAGATACGGAACACATGCGTAAAGCCGAAGTCAAAACTGACAATATGACCCGTAAAGAGATCACAGTAGAAGATACAGCCAGTGCTGCGGAGAGCCTATTCTATGGTCTAGGAATCGCAGATTAACGGTAAAGTAAAAACAAGTTTTCTCAATATGATATTATGTATTATGTATTACGAATTTTTTACAAAAATCAATTTTTCTAAAAAAAATTGTCCAAGTTTGGAATATGAAGAATATTTGTGTGTAAATGTAAACTTGATATTCCAAGAACTGTAAGTTATGGGCGATTTACTGAGAAACTAGCGAGCGACTAAGTTCACAATTGTGTGAATTATTCGTGAAACTTCAAATGTGATTATCTCAAAAGACGGTTCCCAAAAAATTATTTGGAAAATAGCTCAACCAATTGCTTCAAAAATTTGCCACAATATTTTCGGACAGGTTTTCTACTTTAGAATGTAGGTTTTGTTTTACTTAATTATTTTTTTATCAAGCCAGAAAGGTCGGAAATTAAGGTTGAGAAACGAATGTTAAAGTTGTTCCCCCTTAAAATTACTCTTTTTTTTGAAATTTAAGCTTCTCCAAATTTTTGGAGCATTACATGCATCTTTCAGACTGCACTAGGAAATTATAGAAAAAAAAAAGGAATATATACCTTATATATCTCTGTACATTTTTTGCTGGTACATATTGTAACAGGTTGTGACAATTCCATCACTTCTAGATCTATTACGGGCATGTATAATTTTTTCCTCAATTCATCTATAGTATTAGAGCTCGTATCTAAATCTTCCTTATGCCTTTGTAGAGCAAAAACATTGTTACTGATAAGTAGAGATATTTCGGCAAGTGGATGTAACAGCTGTATTATGAGCCTTTGAACCTCATTGATGGCATTTGTGTTCTTTATAATATAGGGTTGCAATGGAGGATTTTTGGAATCTCCAATAATGTATTCTATCAAGCTGTAAAACAACAATAATTTTAGAACTCAGTTTGAAATAATAAATATGTGACTTATTTTCTAATCAACAATAGTATCATACTCTTACTTATAGAAGAAATAGTTTATGTAAAGCAGTTGCAAGTTTTGAGTTGTATAATGTGACATTTAATCAATTTTTTTTAAGAAATATATACCTATTTTAATAGCTCCTGTAATTTTACTTTATTTCAAATTTATTTGAAATATATAGCTTAATATCTTTAAATTTAATTTATTTTACCCACATAAGAAATAAAATAATTCAAAGGCATGTAATGACTAGAAAACTCAACTTACTTGTTACATTGTTCAACTGACCAAGTCCAACTCTCATGATTTCTTTGTGCTGTTCTAGGGTTAAATTCAATATTCTGTTTAATTGCAGTCAGATAACGAAAAGCTTCATTGTCAAAACAGAAAACATTCTTACCCAGGGGAATGTCCACATACGGCGGTCTTGCTTTAATGTTAGCAACAACCTTTTTTAAAATAGGATAAGTCTCTCCTGCAGTATAATCTGTATCTCTGGCATTGGTAAAAATAAAAATAATATTTCTGCTTGCTGACTTTTCTAGACGTGAGATAATCTGAGTCATGCAATATTCAAAATAAATGGTTATTCTGGAGTTTGTTGGTTTAAACAGATAGCAAATGGCATGCAGTTCGTGAAGATATCCAATATAACTAAGAATTCTTTCACAATTCATGTCATCTTGATCAATACCCCTTCCATCACCAATTCCTGGCGTGTCAATCAAGCGAACTTTTAATGCACCATTCCATATGGGAAATACATATGATTTTACGTCTTGGGTTGCTGACATACCTACATTAACGCATTCATTTTTATCATCTTCAAGGCTAGAACCAATTTCAACTTCGTGATATCCACCATTTTTATCTTGCACAGTGAATTGTGAAGATATCAGTGTTATTAGGTTTTCCTGTGCAGCTATCTCAAATTCCGGGAATGTTAAATAATTTACAACAGAATTTATGAATGTAGATTTCCCTACTCCAGTTTCACCAAGTAGTAGAATGTTTATAAACGGATCATATTGAATCTGTGGATCCTTTGCCATATCTGCTATATTATTTTCTTCAGACATTGTTTAACAGTTCTGCAAAAAGCAACATTTTTTTATATTATAGGATTACTACTGAAATGAAGTCATGCCTTCAAATAGGTAAAAATTCAAATTTTTAAGGTATAGAGTTACGATGTACATGTGCTACAAAATATAATGTAAAAATGAACTCGTCTAAAAATGGACCTATTTCAAAAATTAACTTTATACATTCAAGCTGTAATTTTCCATGTAGTTCTGTTCTTGAAAAAATACAATTATTTGTCTTGACAGCTTTTAAAAAACTTACTCCGTGCATAGTTAAGACAGAAAAAGAGGTTATTAAAATTTCTGAATAAATATCAAAATATAAATATCAAATAAAGTCATTAAAATGAAGACTAATGTTATTAATTTCTTTAATCAAATAACTAACCGAATTATTAATGTTTGTCATGTTATGTAAGTGTTTTCAGTTCGTTTTTTAGGTTTTACGCGAAAATCAGGCTTTTTTCGAAAAACATAAAGTAGTAATTTGTAGAAAATTGAAAAACAAATCCGAAAATATATGACTGTTACCGTAAAGCAGTGGCGTACTATTTTATTTAGAAAAATGTGCCACCCCGATACCCTGTATTCCTGCAACCGGAGCATCTAAATTTTAGGAAAAGGCCTTAAAAGCCATTGCATATGGACCAGATAGCTTGTTTATTCAGCTTTAATTTCCTTTTTTCAAAATTTCGATACGACCATTATTATTCATCGAAATATAGGACTTTTAATGGAAAAGAATCCTTTTGTCTTCAATCATCGATATCTCGGCGACAAATGGTCGTACAGCGAATTGAAGAGCAGTTTCGAAAACTGTAATAAATTTCCTATAACATGCTGCCGCAACTTTTCGGATTTTTTTTCATCTTTTACATGAATTTAAAAAAACAGGAAAAAAAGGGTAATTTATGGTTTTTTAGAAAATTGACGGCTAAATTATAAATATTCACGAATGACTAATGTTAAGCATGACTTACAGTTCGGTATACCCAGAAGAACCGTGTGAAATTTCATCTCGATCTAACGAACCGTCTTTTTGTTTCAAACAGTCAAACTTTTGAAAAAAATTAAAGGGTAACACTTCATAATCATGATTAAATTGGAAAAAAAATTTTTTTTAAGGTTCTCACATTTTACCGCAAACATTTAAATTGAAAATTTTCGAAATTTTTTTTCAGAAGAAAAAGGGTAGTTTTGAAAAAATGTGATTACAGACTGCACAAAAATTAATTACAAAGTCTCAAAAAACGGTATGAATCGGGGTCGAAATCTGGTTTGGGTCATCAACATTAATTTTAATTTAATTAAAAACTGATGAACTGTAGCATACGACAGAAAAGCCGAATCGTGCTGGAAACAATTGGATTTTGGTTTGTTCAATGTTCGAAAGGTTTTCCAAAAAAAAAAAAATTATTTGCGGTAAGAATGTGAGAAAACCTCAACAATTTTTTTTTCCATTTTAATCATGATTATGAACTGTCTAAGCTTAAAAAACGTGACTCTTTAATTTGTTTCAAAAGTTTGACTGTTTGAAACAAAGAAACGGTTCCCTAGATCGAGATGAAAATTCACAGGGTTCTTCTGGGTATATCGAACTGTAAAAGTCATACTTAACATTAATAATAATAATAATTTATTGATGTCAGAACATAAGATAAATGTTTACACAAGTCACAAAAGAAATGTGACATCAAAAGAATCAGTAATTAAAAATAGGTTAAAACTAAAGCACAGATATGTGAATGAATCTTTAAAAAAAATACTACAAATAAATACTATAGATACAAAAAAGCACTATTACAAAATACATAAAGAAATATATCACTCATCAGTCATCACACACACATTACATGGTATTCCTAGGGGACTAACAAGAGCAACAAAATCATTAAAATAATCATCAAATGAGTAAAAAGCCTTCATTTAGTTCATTTTAAGAAAGTTCCTTATTCTCATTTTATAGTGAGCATTACACAAGGACCTAATTGGCTTCAGGTAGCATATTAAAAAAGGGCACGCAATAGTAATAGTAATAGTTCTACTTAGTCTAAGAGGAACAGGGTTTATATTATACCTGTTTCTAGTAGGATAATCATGGTTTATAAAATGTTGACGAAACATATGGATATTTTCCTTAATGTACAAGAGACATTATAAGATATATACACTTGCTGGTGTATGCCATATTTCTTGAATTGTTGTTTACAGTCCGCTTTATAGGGCAACCCAGCAATAATGCGAATACATTTGCGGTGTAATTTAAAAATTGTATCTGCTTGGCAAGAATGACCCCAGTTCAAAATAGTATAGCACAGATGTGAGTGAAAAAACCCATAATAGGCTGACAGCAATGTTTTTATCGAAACAGGATTAATAAGACTTCCGATCAGGAACATCTTTTTAGATAACTCGTCAATATGTTGCTTCCAAGACGTTTGGCAATCAATGTTCACTCCGAGAAATTTCACTTGCGAGGCGCAATTGGTGAACTCATCATGTACATAACGCAAAGTAAACAAAATAGATTGAGTTTTGTTTTGATTGAGATACATTTTATTTGCCAAAAATCACTACTTAACGTTATCTTGTGTTGTTTAAACATTATGACGAAAGACACTGGCCTGACCTGCACTATTTTGGATCGTAGTATCATCCGCAAAGAGGATAAACTTGGAAATGCTATCACTATTTGGTAGATCATTTATATAAATGAGAAACAGTACAGGCCCAAGGACAGATCCTTGTGGGACTCCGTGATTCATGGTTAAGCATGAAGATCTACTTCCATTAAAAGAGACAAATTGAAATCTGTCACTCAGGTATGACTTAATAAGGGAGATACTATTTGGATCAAAGTTATAGCGCGAAAGTTTTTGAATTAAAATGTTGTGGCTCACACAGTCAAAAGCCTTAGTAAGGTCATATAAAGTACCATTAGTAATGTCTCTATTCTCAAAGCCACTCAGAACTGAGTGCATTAAGTTGTTTATTGCTAGTGAGGTGGACCTGTTATTACGAAAGCCAAATTGACAGGAGTGAAATAAGTTGTTTGATTCAAAATATTCGTTAATTTGATACTTTAGGATCTTTCCCAAAATCTTGGATATAATTGGAGTTAAGGAGATGGGTCTATAGTTAGACAGGTCATCCATGGGTCCCTTCTTATGAATAGGAATAACTTTTGCTAATTTAAGAATATCAGAGAACACATTATTTCTGATACACTCGTTAGTTAAGTAGGTAAGGGGACTAAGAATCAATTTTTAATAGTTTTTATAATCTTTGTATTGATATTATACGGATCCATTAGTCATTTCGTGAATATTTCTAAATTTAGCCGTCAGTTTTCTACAAAAACATAAATTACCCTTTTTTCCCTGTTTTTTAAATTCGTGTAAAAGATGTAAAAAAAAATTCCGAAATGTTGCGGCAGCATGTTGTAGGAAATTTATTACAGTTTTCGAAACTGCTCCAATTCTCTGTACGACCATTTGTCGCCGAGATATTGAAGACTGACGACAAAAGGATCCTTTTCCATTAAAAGTTCGATATTTCGATGAATAATGGTCGTATCGAAATTTAAAAAAAAAGGAAATTAAAGCTGAATAAACAAGCTATCTGGTTCATGCAATGGCTTAGCTGAGAAAAAAAAATTTCCAAGTCCGTGAACTCAGAAAAAAAAATTTAAAAAATGTGCAAAATTTTTTTGTGGCGCTATTTCTTAGAAGTGCATGATAACGGTTACTCCTAAAAATTTTCGACAGGAAGATCTAAAAACTAGAATCTTAAGAGCTTCAAAATGCTTTTTTTTTTAATTCTCGATACGACCATTTTTCACTTAAATACAGTCTGTCAAAAATCACGGAAAAATTTCGGAAATTCTTTTGACCCTTTAATTGTATGGATTAGTGTATAAGTTTAATATATATCTCCAAGGACTTTTAAAATATAGCAAAAAATATATCCATATCTCCCTTTGAAGTGTTATATCCAGTATCGAAAAAAATTTTACATAAGCAAATTTTTATTTGATGTACCACCCGTTCTGAAAGTATTTGCAGATAACCACCCTGTATAATTAAAACACTCTTAGAATACAAATAATTTTGAATAAAAGAATCACAATAAGAATAATGTACCTTAATATATCTCACACGGTATTTTAAACGTATATGTAGATATACAAAAGAGAAGTTATCCATACATAAATCTTTTTTCGCGACTGAATATTGGTGAATATCTGACTTGTAGTTACTATTTCTATCTCTTTTGATCTTAGTTGTCGTATGATAGTTTAAATCTCTTCAATCTTCATTTATTCTATATGATACATATACGACTTCACTCGCGAAAAAAACCTATAACGATATTCGTATAATTTCCGAGTTATGACTATGACATTGAAAGTTTTCTTTATCCATCTAAAAGAATTTACTTTTGGCCCTTATAACTACTTCTATATAGTCATTTTGTCTCATTGTATAGATGAAAACAAGAATATTTAAGCTGATTAAATAGACAATACATACCATCATATATTTTTATTACCTACCGCAAAAAATTCGATAAAGAAGTATAAACACTTATTTTGTAGATTGCAAAAAAAAATTCATTGCAATTTATTGTGTTTATTTTTTTATCAAAAACTTACCTTCTAATATCGGTGTAACTTTAAACTACCTTAGTACTTATAATTTAAAAACAACATACACAACGCATTAAAATATGAAACACCACTGCCGCAAGCCGCAATTCGGAATTCGCAATCGCCGTGATTTACCTATAAGGCGAGGTTTTCCTACTGCGTTGCCAAATCTATCAGAATGTTTTTACTTTAAACGAAGTAGGATAAACAGAACAATTTCTAATTCTAACCATAAAACAAAACCTAAAACTTCGATCGTCTTTTGTCTGTATAAACTATTAAAAATGTAACTTGCTTTGTCGCAACCCACCATACATTATATCGTCTTAAAAATTATTTTATGCCTTATAATTAGCGACGAGTAATCGTATTTCTAACGACTCACCATACATAGTTGGCAACATCGCTTTTAGTTGCAGGTACTTCACACGGTTACAGAAGAATTGTTTAATCCAGTTTAATCTTCTGCCACAGCTCATACAGCTCCACAACTGTCTTGGCGATATTCCAAATTTCAGCTAAATATCTCAAAAACTGTGGGAGCTATAGAGAAAAAACTACAAAAATCTTAAAAGATCGGTAACGCGCCGCGCGCCATTATTCCATGGCTAGAAATTGGCCTCAATGATTTGGGATCGAGGGGGATTATCCCTCTTTATCCTGCCTCATCTCTTGTAGGCCTGGACAGCCTTCGTAGGTGGGCCCCATCCGTCGTCTACCCCGACCTCAAATGCGGCCGGTGTAGGCGCTTTGTGGGACCTCCTTTTGTCCTGGCTGGGCCCCGCCGGCTAGGGCCCTTTCTTCTGGCGCTCTTCTTGCTTCGCCGGCTCGTCTGTGTAAACCCCGGGGGTGGTGTCATGTTTATGGTTGGGTAGGGTAGTGCGGTTATGCAGCCTGGGAGGCCGGGAAGGGAGAGGTAAGGAGGGTATGGGGGTGTGTGTATGTGTGTTTTGTTGTCTTCGTTTCTTGATCCTGGCGGTCTCCGAAACAGAAAAGGTTAGCGCGCGGGGGGGATGTCGTTGAGGTGGTCACCGAGGGTCAAAAAGTTGGTGTCTAGGTCTTTTGTGTTTGTCGGTCACGTCAGGTACGTAGTCAACGGCTTGCCTGAGGAGGAGATTGTCATGTCTAGCGGCTACGTCAAACCGTTTCTCCGCGTTTTGTCTTATCATCGGTAACGAAGCGTTTGCGGACCTATGTTTATATGAACTTTTAGTCACGAAATAAGCCAAAGAATTACCCCCTCCCTTATGTACATGATATTTAGGAACACCAGACACCTTGCATCTGACATGCTCTTTCACAGTTGCGGTTACAGATATAATAAATTTCGATATTACGCTGATCTTCATTTACAACCTTTGCCAACATTTTTTTGAATATTTAGTGAAATTTTTTAAAGAATAGTATTCAGTTGGCGTTTTGGTTGTTCATATGCATTTTTAAGAATTAAAAATTTGTCATAATAAAATTAAAATTGTAATGTTTTAATTTTGACGCAACAACTTATTGAGTTGTGTATGACCAAGTGATGGTAATAGTTAATAATAATAAATAAACGCGTGGTGGTAATAGTTTAAATAACTAGATGGATTTCACAGGGTCTAATGACACTTACAGTGTACTACAATTCAATAAACAAAGAAATCTAAATAAAAAATTTAGATAAATTTGGAACGAATACACTGAAGATGAATTTTTCAAGACAAATAAACGTCTGAATCTGGTTCGGGCTGAGGCAGTACACTATTAGGGGTCATGAAGGCTTGCAAAAAATGTAATAAAATTTCCATGGTCGTATTTAAAAAAATGAAGTTGATGATGGTCCTGGAGAGACGAAACGTTACATATAAAAATTGATTATGCCATTCGATAGAGGGCAAAAAGTGGCCATGATAAAGTGTTCTTTTTTCAATATCACCTCAAACAAGACTGAAATGAAATAAAAACGGATTTCCAGTTTCGTTTTTTTTTAATATTTCGAAAACTAATCATGTTAGTCTTGATTTTTTAGAGGCATAATGTTGGTACCCTGATTACGCAACTTTGCCCCCATTTAAGCTACTTCGTACCTCTTACCGTTTCCGAGATCCCTGTTACACAACAGTAGTGAGAAGCGAATTTGTAACAGCATGTATGTATACATTACGTTCCAATTTGAAACTTGTATTTTAGACTGCATTTACCGATTAAATTTTATTTTAATATGTAGTACTTAAAGGGAATCTACCTTCTGTGTTTGAAAAACTGCGAAAAATAACAAAACCGAATCAGGCATTTTTTTGTAAGAAAACGTTTAATAGCTTAATCGATTTCTATGCATCCTAAATCTAAAATTAATATAGAGCGTTTGTCACAATTTTTACTAAATTATTATATTTTTAATGCCCTCTATGCCTACATCATTATTTCTATTGCAGCTTATATGCTATTATTTATCTTTATAATAAAATATCCCATGTTCGATGTAATTATTGTAAATAGGGAATCAAAATTGCAGAACGGAACGACGAAGCCTTCTCTGCATTAATGATCGTTATTATTTTCATTTTTTCTGAAATAAAGAGCACATAATAATATCAGACCCTTTCCATTATGTAATAGTAAACACATTTCAACTAGGTTGCAATAAATATGTATAGCTAGCTATACAGGAAATTAAAAAATTATAATTTATTAGTTATGGTAATTTCCATAACAAACACCCTGTATATGCTATCGAAGCGGAATTTTAGACTTAGTATTTAAGATGCATAGAAATCGATTGAGCTATCAAACGTTTTCTTAAAAAAAATTATATAATTAAATGTTGATAAGTCCATCCTCATATCTCAAAGAAGCAGTCTGGATATATTTCATCGAAAAGCCGATGGTATTCTCCTGATACGTTCCCTTTTTTATTAAGGTCGTGTACACTACACTGCCTACTTAATAATATTATTACTTTTGAGGCACAACTATCCAAAATAATATCGTCCTCACCGTCTGAATACATTTTTGTGAATAAGGGCTATTTACAAACGTAAACAATCTGACGCGGAATTCTGATTCCGGAATTCCAGAAGTCACCCCGAGTGTTAACGCACCACTATGAAAACCTTGTCCCGCGCGTTTTCTGCCTCTTAGCAAGACTCTATCCGACACTGAAGCCTCTTCATGCCACTATGTTTGTACCTTTAGTTGAAATCTGGGGACTTCAACAGTTGAAGATAACGATTAAATAATCTAAATATCTAGTGTCTAGAGTTAGCACATCCACTTTGCTTCGGTATTACCTATAATTTTTTTGAAAATATCTATTAATCATCTGTTAACATTTTCAGATTGTCGATTCTGTGGTCTCACCTATGTTTTAAAAACATTTAAAAAATAATTTGTTGTATGGGAAAGGGTTCGACACAATTTAGGCAAGAAACAAATTTTTTTCAATAATCTTTATTATTAATATCTATATAATATAGTAGTAAAAGAAAATATATTTTTATCTTATACATTTGCATTACCGGAAAATTTAGAACCAAGTTCTGGAATGTCTTGAGGATGACTTTGGGGTTTATCATAAGAACACTGTCTGCGACTGTGCTGTTCTAGATCGTCTAAACAACAAAACTCCTCGTATGCTGGACCTGTTTCGGATTGAGCTTGGGCTGCTTCCATTTCCTGAATGTTGTTAATCTCGCTGTGAGATGCTACTATAGTAAAGAACGGAAAATGTGATTATGTATGTGGGTGTACTAATCTTTAAAAAAATCTATTTAATGTATTGGGTGTTGCAAATAAGTAGGTTAAACTGTTAACCTCAGATCCTTTGGACGAAAATAATAGGACTTTACTTTTGCCAATTTCTATTTCGACAATCCCTTTTTCAAGACGATGGGTGTAACAGTTTAAAATAAAAAAAATATACACCAGGGAAAGAAATTAACCCACCAGTTTTTATTTTTAAAAACGTCTATAGTCTAGTACGTCACAAGATGATAACAATGGCGTACGGTTTGAATTAATATTTTTAAAATCAAATAAAAATTTATAGTTAGTTTTTAAAGAAACTGCTCATGAGGTTCTCTTGTAACTTTCATTGTAGAATAATATAAAAACGCTACACATTTTTTGGATGCAAACGCCCCATTAACAATTTCAATAATACTGCGATACTGAATACTACTTCAAATTTTTGGATAAGTAGATGTGGAAATATTCAGTGGCCTGCAAATAGCCCTAATTTAAGTCCTCAGGACACATTTTTTTTTGGGTTAGAAGTATGTGGTTACCATAATATCAAACTTTATGAAGTGAAGAAAACAATACAGGGTGTTTCAGTTCGGGCGAATAAAACTTTGACCACAAATAGAACAACAAATAATTCAAAATTGCCTTATAAAGCAAGGGTCTACCCCAGTGGCGGCTCATGAAGAAGGACTCTGGGACTCCGCCCCCCCCCCCAGCGATATTTTCAAACTGTAAACTTAAAATAATTTATTTATTTAAATCAATAAAAAATCTAAATCACATGCATTCAATGTCTTAGATTTTAGGTTGGTTGCATAAAGTGCATGTACTCCGTGAACGTAGCTCAGATTTATGCCATCTGCCATCTATGACCGTACCAAAGAGTTATGTTTGACCGCGCACGCAATCCCCACTCCATCGCAGACGGTGAAATCTGAGTCCATCGTGCAAGCATATTTCTACATATGATGCGACAAATTGGCACGTGGAGGGGATAGGTGACAATAGGCTCGCGCGCTTTGTTTTGGACTCCATGTGGAAGTAACCCGTTTCACTGCAGTGTGTTTATACGTGTTTTGTTTCCGCTTTGGCGCTTTTTAAGAAAATATATTTTATAAGCTTAAGTTTAAAATGAGAGTTTGTGAAATAAAAAAAACTGGTAATAAGAAATTAAAGTTAAAAGAAAAAAGCCAAATGCAAAAAAAACGAACGCCAAAAACAAGGGTGAAATTAAGTCAAGGGCAAAAAAAAGGCAAAAAGAAGCCCGCAATTTCCCCCGCCGCCCCCGTTAAAAAACCCCGGGAACTAAAAACCCCGAAATCAAATCAAAAAAAGGAAAAAACACTAAGCAGAATACATTCAATCAATGTTCACGCGCCGCCACTGATGTTATTTATCGATATGCTTGTCTAATTCTATTACATAAATCTTAATCTATTAAAAAAATTAATGTTTTGTGTGATTTTATGTGATTGAATAATCGGGCCCTTCTTTCTTAACGTTAATCTAAACATAGATTTTTTTGAAATCCTGATTCTGGGATTCAGTACATGCACTTCCTCTTCATGTAAGACAGAACCTCTACTTTCAACTAGATGGAGCACCTATTCATGATGTGGTAATAGTAAGTCATTGGTTGAATGAGAATTTCCTGAGAAGGATAAGTCGCAACAGTTCGTTAGTTGAGTGGCCGTCAAGAGCTCCAGATTTGACACCTCCTGATTTCTTTTATGGGGAACTTTGAAAAATAAAGTGTATTAAACAAGGCTCCAGAAGATGTATGTAATAGAATTAGACGAGCATGTCGACAAATAATACCACATCAGTTGAGCAGAGTTATTAGAAATAAGACGAGACGAATTGAACAGTGGACTAATAGAAAACAGTAATATTTAAATTTTATTTTGTTGTGAAAGTCATTTCTGGTATAATAAAAAAAAATATATAATTTGTCTGTCATATTGTGAGCACCCTGTATGAGTGAAATCAATGAAACTTTATAGAAAAATTAATTAAAATTATGAAAAAATACCTTAAAAATATTTTCCATTGTTAAAACAGGACACTGCAATGAGTGAAATTTTTAGAAGTTTGCACCTATTTTTTGAACAACCTGTAAAAACTATAATAATGAAATTTTGTATTTAGGGTTTCTAGGTGTGATCCAATAAAAAATGCTATCCATTTCTTTCTTAAAAACATGCCTAATATATTTTTTAATTTTTGAGGGTGTTAATAATGATAATAGGCTGTAGAAAAGATCATGTCAAAAAATATAATATCAAAAAGTAGGCCTTTTTGAGTACTACCACATAAAAAAAAATTTTGGAAATTGGCCAACACCATCCTCATGGAGGTGTTTCGGCTTTAAGTGAAACACAATGTATATGATTTTAACCCTTTTGCTGCGCAATACGTCTGAACGTAGCTACCGTGCCATGCGCGAAAGTTTATCACGTGTGAACATATACATCTGGAGCAGTTAGACCACTTATAGTTTTACATTATGTTGTGTTAAATTACGATTTACGATCAATTTTACGATTTTATTTTAAATAAAATACAGTATATTGACAGCTGTACTAAATAGAAACTGGAAGAGACATGAACAATCTTGGCATTATTACCCTTCCATAGAAATATTCGTCACGATAGCTATAAACTTCACCGGCAAAAATTCCCTATACTAATTATAACAACCGAGTCACTATGCGCATGGTTGCAAATATATACGGATTGAGCAACCTGATCCAATTTAACTATTCAAGCGAATTAATCCATCTAAAGCAGTTTGAGCCCTATAAATTTTTAGCGAATAAATACGTCTGGAGCAGTGAAAGGGTTAAAAACCAACCAATACGGCCCTGTACAGTGAAAATGGTGAGACTTAGACCCTTGATTTATAAGGCAATTCTGAATTATTTATTGGGTTCTATTTGTGGTTAAAGTTTGATTCACCCGAACTGAAACACCCTGTATATAACTTGAAATGTCAAGAAGCCATAACAGACGATCACATTGTTCAGCCATTTTTTCACATTGTTTACATAATTCATGTTGCAGAAATTATGTAAATTTCAAAAATCCAAAAATATACAGGGTGTTCCTTTTAAAAAAAATATATTAGTTTGCCACACCTTTTGAGAACATCGTGTACCAATCATCATAAAAAGGTTATAGTTTTTTTGCTACAACTTTCATATTTAATATTTTAATTTAAACTTAAAAATAAAAAATAAATTGAGGTTGAGATTTATAACCAATAACCGTCTACATAAATTTTTGATTGTTACATTATGTTACATTTTGCCTCTGGAAATAGAATGTCGGAATTTATAATAAGCCATTCTTTTTTCAAGTTGCAATTTTGACACCTTGAATCTTTAAAAAGAAATGAAAACTGGCATAAGAGAAAATATTTTCACCCAAAGATTCTACGGTTAACGGTTGACATATCTATTGTAATACCATGTATAACTTTAAATTTAGCAGCAATAACATATTTTAGCATTGAAAAACAGTACATATATGGTTTGGTACAGTGTACCGCTGATTTCCAAATTTTTCTTATATGTACTCTGAATTACCTGGAAGTTCAACATCTGGATTTGGAATGTCTTGGGAATGACTTTGATATTTATCAGGAAGAGGATATTCCATGGAATTATCTTGATATTGTGGATCCTGAGAACAAACTTGGCCTGTGAGAAATAGTTCTTCTTTTGCTGAATGAGGATTTTCGGACTTTTTATTTTGAGCTGTAGAAAAAAAAGATTTACTGAACAATCACAAACGTAAAGTGAAATGTGTAGCTGAAAAAGGATAAATGACTTACACTTCTTTTTTCCTTTTCCCCAATTGAATAACGAAAACACCTTGTGAACATACTCTTTGGATTTATGTTCTCGAGTACGTGATTTTGTTTGACACTCATAAAGTTCTTTGATCTTCTTACCATTGTGCTTCAATGTGTACAACTTCTGTATGTTTTCTTGAATATCCTGTGGTGTTATTAATATATCAGTGCCAGTTTTTTTTTGCAGTGAGAGTGCCTCATCAAAGAAACGCTTAGCTTCTTGATATTCTCATAAAGTTTTTTCCAGATGATCAACAATGGCCTTTTTTGCTAATTTTCCCAAAGATTTCTCACTGCAGAGAAAAGGATATTTCAGACAAATTGAAATGTTTTTTTTCTTAATATATGAATTGTTTGACCATTGATTATATAAACTGTTAGGAAATAGAGTATACCTACTCAAGGATTTGATACAGCACATGTTAAAAATCTTACCGTGTAATCAAGTATTCAATATATTCCTTATAAGAGTCACTGAATGGTGTTATCGTATTATTCTGCAGAAAATGTGCAAATTTAGCACAAGTTTTTGTAATTATATTGTGCTCCTCATCAAGTTCATTTTTTCTTGTAGAAATATGTTTAATTAACATTTGGCAATTTTCCAATACTGCTGTTTTATTATTTATGTTTTTTTGTATGTTTTTATCAACTACTTTGTTTTCCACCGTTTTTGACAAATAATAAATGTGCATGTGTGTGGAAAAGTCACATCGACACTGTATGCAAGCTTTTGTAGACGAATTAATAGCTGCACAATGTAGTAATTCAGGGCTTCCTATTATTTCTTTAGGGACATTTCGAAGAAAACAAGGATCGTGGCATCTTTGTTTGTAATGATATTTATTAAGTTCTCCTACCTAAAAGTAAAAGATTTTGATTTAAACAAACAAATACAGTATAACCTCCTAGTAGCAGACATCTACTGACAATCCTAAAATGTCCATTATATACAAGTATTTCTTATTTAGAGAGGAAGCAAATAATAGAAAAAGAGACAACTTTCATTTTATTTAATATATTAAAATAGATCATACAATACAATTATCAAAATGCATAAAAAAATAGCATAAACTTACTATGAATGTAACTAAAAATGTGTACATATGGGGAAAAAACCAACAATAATATCCCTACAAATATATAGGCATTTAAGGACGCTCAGTAGAGATAGCGGGGGGAAACATTTGCGGGGCAAGGGGAAACTAGCGATGAGTGAAGACTTGACAACGCCGTAAAGGTGTTCAATGTGTAAGTGTTCATGTACACGCATCACGTGTCTGCACTGTCTGCTGCGTCAGTTACGGCAGCGAATGTGTATGTTCAATTTGTTTGTGATAAAGCTGTAAGTATTTGACTTTTATTTGTTATAAAAATGTAATAAAAATGAATAAATAAATAATTAAAAAGACTTGTGACAATTGTATTTATATTCGTAGATTTGTATTGTATAGATTCGTAAACTTGATATACATTAAATTAATAACATTATCTGTGACATATAAAAAAATTGGCGAAATTCATTGGGACAATTTTTTTAAAACTGAGTTTTTATCAGTTTTCCCATAAGCGACTGTGTTAAAATGACTGAACTTTGAAATTCAATATCTTGAAAACGAAACAGATGAACCTCTTGAATTTTTGACAGGTTTATCGTAACAACAATAAGAACGTCTGGTCAAAATTTCAAAAAAATTCATTGGAGGGTTTTATCTCTAACGAACGTCCTTAAGAATATATATACACAATCTTCTAAAGATTGCTTATTTTAAATAATCTTTAATTACCACTTGCTTTTCTCTTTTCCGTTTTGTGATAACTATTTCTGATTTGTATTTATCTATATCACATTTACTTATATCACTATCACACAGCAGATGAAATCCACAGTTTAACAAACAGTTTTTTACCATTACTGGCAATGATTATTTCTAAGAACTGAAATCCATATTAATGAACTGACAGCATTCAATCATGTCAAGTAACTCTTCCATGGTCATTAATCTTAAAAGTTTTTAACAAGCATACTTCTTTAAATGATATTAAGGTTTTGAAAGATGCCCTGGTCCATAGATTAGATTAGATAGAGGTAGTATTTGGAGGAAGCAAAATCAGTTTCGCTTTTTCTGATGAAATATTTGGATGAGACTGCATAGTTGAGAAATAAGAATAGTCCCTTATATTTTTTCATCTTGCACAGTTTTTTAACTATATTGATATAAAGTTATCCGTATTTTTTTTGGAGATCCAATTCTGTCAATTTATTCACAAAAGCTTCTTTAAAACATTCATATTTTTACCAATAACTAACGGCTGTTCAATGTCTCCTTTGCAGATTTTCCTCCTGTATACATTTTATTTCTTAATGCAAATGCTTTTGTAGGGAGTGCATGGTAAAAAGGCTTGTTTCATCAACATTAAAAATATCTTGTGTAAAGTAATCCTTCCATTATTATCTGCAGAAAATTTTATACCTCTTTATTTTTTTAATAACCATTAGAAACTTTAAAATCAGATAGCTGCAACTTTTGAGTTGCATCAAGTGCCTTTTCTTTGAGTAGAGGTCCAGATATGGGAATATTTTCTTTCGTACCTAACAGAATCAATTAAAAACTGTTTCATCACTCATCGGACCAATAGTTTTTGGAAAATTTCTATTTTGCTACAGGTTTTCGTTTTTCTCCAGAAGTTTTAACTTCTCTTTTATTTTTCAATATATTGCTAAACTGCATTGTACTGAAACTAAGCTTCACGCGAAACATAACTGTTGTTCGCGAGACACAATAACTTTAAATTATTAACTAAACCATTTCTTTTACCGTCTAATCATCAAATTACTTGCCTGAATTAAATGATATAGTAAGTATATCCACACAGGTGTGAAGTTATCCACATTCACATTTTCTAGTAGAAGTAGAATCGATAAAGTCGTCACCTCAAAAATTTCATAAAATAAATCATTGGTGCTTTATATGTTGTTGAAAGATACTCAAGTTACCTATTCAAAAACATCCCCATCATTAAATACTAATGCCTACTTTTAATGTGTTTATATTTCTTAGCTGAAAGTTCAAGAGCTGTTGCCCATAAATTAAAAATGCTTATAAACAATAATACAGAGGTATATTGTAGCACTAAGCTGTTCCGTTTTTGTTAGAAGTAACTTTTCAATTACTTTTTCATCAAAGTTTGGTATTTCTCGCACCTTAAGAGAGAAGTTGAGAATAGATGAGATATCTGAATAAGCGAATAAACAATATCTTTTTAATTATTAGTGTTTTAGTTCTACCTATAATCCCAACATATGTCCTTAACTGTTTTTATTTTAGCATAGATTGATAGCAAATAAGTAATTATAACGAGCGAAGATCACGGATTCATTAGTCAACACGTACCCCGGAATGAAATGATCTACAAAAAAAATGCTCCGTTAGCATGTGCCGTTAAATTTTATTTTACTATAGATTGCCAGGAAATAAGTAATTACATTAATAAACGGTTCCACTTTGATTTGTTAGCCCATACGGTGGAATGAAGTGGGGTGAATTTTATAAAAAAAATTTGTTACCTCATTATAATGTGCTTCCAAGTTTTTATTTTACCATATTATATCGATAGGAAACTTCAAATGTGATTATCTCAAAAGACAGTTCCCAAAATATTTGGAAAACGGCTCGACAGATTGCTTCCAAAATTTGACATTATTTTCAGAAAAGTTTTCTACTTCAGAATGTGGGTTTTTTTCTGTACTTAATTATATTTTTTATCAAGCCAGAAAGGTCGGAAATTAAGGTTGAAAAACGAAAAAAAGAATTCAATTCCTGCATTCTGAAGGGCATCATATCGACGTCCATTCAGACGTTCCTCAAAGACATATGGACCTATTAAATTATTACCCGTTTTCGTATACAAAGAAATAACATTCTTCGACTTAGGATGTGTGTGGAGGCGAAAGGTGTCCATATTGAAAATGTATTTTGATAGTTTTCTTTCTTTTAACTAATTTTTTTAACTTTAACTTATTCCTGTTTTGTTTTCTATTTTGTGTTATGTGTAAAGTGTATTTGTTAATGAAAATTATATTGGCAGACAGTAAGATATTCTAGACCCTTATTTTAAAAATATGTATGCTTGTAACATAGTTATTAAGTGCAATTAAAAATTAAAAACAAAAAATGGTGGAGGCGCCGGTCGATGTGCAATGTGACAAAATCAAAAATATTTCTTAAACTGTTAGTTTTACCGAGTTGAACCAAGAGGGTATTATCGTTGGCAAATTCTTCAGGGAATTTATTTTTGATACAGGCAGATTGCGACCATCATCTATGCAAAAATTCTGGTTTGTCAACTATTGGGCATAATCTGTCCCTGGCGTTCTGGACATAATGAAGTTTCACTTACAACATTAAAAACAAGCTATATGTATGTATTATCAATCCCCAAATTTACATCATGCTGAAGTTAATGGTTTAGAGACTGTAAATAAAAATAACTTTTTAATTTTCACCTTTGAGGGCCCGTTATTGTGTTAATGAAGGCCCGTATGAAAAAAATTTATAAGGAACTATTATTTTAACCACATCTATTTGTGCTTGACTTTTTTGTATCAAGTACCGGGACACCCAGTATACCTACCTTATATATCTCTGCACAATTTTTGCTGGTACATATTGTAACGGGTTGTGACAATTCCATAACTTCTAGATCTATGACGGGCATGTATAATTTTTTCTTCAATTCATCTATAGTATTATAGCTCATATCTAAATCTTCCTTATGCCTTTGTAGAGCAAAAACATTGTCACTGATAAGTTGAGATATTTCGGCAAGTGGACGTGACAGCTGTATTATGAGCCTTCGAGCCTCATTGATGGCATTTGTGTTCTTTATAATATGGGGTTGCAATGGAGGATTTTTGGAATCTCCAATAATGTATTCTATCAAGCTATAAAACAACAATAATTTTAGAACTCAGTTTGAAATAATAAATGTGACGTATTTTCTAATCAACAATAGTATCATACTCTATTACTTATAGAAGAAATAGTTTATGTAGAGCAGTTGCAAGTTTTGAGTTGTATAATGTGACATTTAATCAATTTTTTTAAGAAATATATACCTATTTTAATAGCTCCTGTATTTTTACTTTATTTCAAATTTATTTGAAATATATAGCTTAATATCTAAATTTAATTAATTTATTTTACTCACATGAGAAATAAAATAATTCAAAGGCATGCAATGACTAGAAAACTCAGCTTACTTGTTACATTGTTCAACTGACCAAGTCCAACTCTCTTGATTTCTTTGTGCTGTTCTAGGGTTAAATTCAATATTCTGTTTAATTGCAGTCAGATAACGAAAAGCTTCATTGTCAAAACAGAAAACATTCTTACCCAGGGGAATGTCCACATACGGCGGTCTTGCTTTAATGTCAGCAACAACCTTTTTTAAAATAGGATAAGTTTCTCCTGGAGTATAATCTGTACCTCTGGCATTGGTAAAAATAAAAATCATATTTCTGCTTGCCGACTTTTCTAGACGTGAGAGAATCTGAGTCATGCAATATTCAAAATAAACGGTTATTCTGGAGTTTGTTGGTTTAAACAGGTAGCAAATGGCATGCAGTTCGTGAAACTGTCCAATATAACTAAGAATTCTTTCACAATTCATGTCATCTTGATCAATACCCCTTCCATCACCAATTCCTGGCGTGTCGATCAAGCGAACTTTTAACGCACCGTTCCATATGGGAAATACATACGATTTTACATCTTGGGTTGCTGACATACCTACGTCAAGGCATTCATTTTTATCATCTTCAAGGCGAGAACCAACTTCAACTTCATGATATTCACCATTTTTATCTTGCACAGTGAATTGTGAAGTTATCAGTGTTATTAGGTTTTCCTGTGCAGCTATCTCAAATTCGGGGTATGTTAAATAATTTACAATAGAATTTATGAATGTAGATTTCCCTACTCCAGTTTCACCAAGTAGTAGAATGTTTATAAACGGATCATCTTTAATCTGCAGATCCTTTGCCATATCTGCTACATTATCTTCTTCAGACATTGTTTAACAGTTCTGCAAAAAGCAACATTTTTTTTATATTATAGGAATACTACTGAAACGAAAAGTCACGCATTCAAAGAGGTAAATCAAGATCATTTTTATCTCAAGTCAAAACTGTATACAGTATTCCATATGAACTAATCTATATGAGAATCGAAAAAATGTTCATTAATTTTAATAAGGATACATTCTGATGTTAGATGTCCTACAGATGTGATTTTTTCTATGTTTATTTCAGTATTTTGCCACCAGTAAAAAAATTTCAAGTTAAATATAAATATAAACATTACTTTTTTCTTAAAGAAATTCAAATTTTTAAGGCATAGAGTATCGAGTTATGAAGTATGTACATGCTATACAAAATATGATGTAAAAATAAAAACTCCTCTAAAAATGGACCTATTTCAAAAATTAACTTTATATATTCAAGCTGAAATTTTCCATGTAGCAGTTATTCCCTTCTTGAAAATAATACAATTATTTGTCTTGACAGCTTTTAAAAAACTTACCCCATGCACAGTTAAGACAGAAAAAGGGGTTATTAAAACTTCTATATAAATATCAAAAATTACACATCATTTAAATAAATCTTATACATATACAGGGTGTACCCGACTTTTTTTGTATCAAGTACCGGGACACTCTGTACATATTATGATTATTGCATTCTTGTAAAATTAAGTAGAAAATAAACTAGTGATAAAGCAGTTCCTAGAATTCCCTCATGTTTCAGTCAGTTTCATATCGGCACTAAACTTTCGCTGAGAAACAGCCCGGGATGAAACATAGCGAGTGTTTATGCCACCGGCTCAAATTTTGCCAAGTTAACCCGAGACAAAGCAGGTGTCAAGATTTTTTATTCTTTAGATTACAGAGAGGACCAGGGGCCTATTGTTTGAAAGTACCTATTTTTCAACTTTTCGCTTTTCACTTTTCATTTTACAAATGTAGAAAAGCGAAGAGTAATTCTGTTTTTCAAAAAAATGTACTGTACATAAATATTATGCGTTTTAATAGGCTTCAGCTACTCATTTTCATTGTGCATATTACCAACTGTTTTTTGAATATGAATTTTGAAAACAGAAAATAACCAGAAAAATGAAAAGTAAGGAGTGGAAAGTTGAAAAGTACTTACAAAAAACAGGCCCCAGGTCCACGATAGGGCTTGTTCAGGTATCCAAATTTATGAGTATAAAATACTAATATGAAAATAAAATACATATCTCCAAAGACTTTTAAAAAATAGCAAAATATTCCATATTTTAATAGTACATATAATTAAATGGGCCTTTAAATTGCAATTTTGGTCAACTTGCTTGAATTTTTTTATATAAGTTAGTTTGACGTATATATAATAACAATAAGTGACAGTAATTTTTTTTCAACCCCCGGCCAAGGGTGAAAAAAGATAAAATTAAGGGGGTTTTCAAGATAACTAAAAATAAGGGGTAAGACGAGGGGTAAGAGCTAGAAAAAAAATCATATAAAAGTTATAGAGCATAAAAATGGTCTAATGATTTTTTCTTGAACTATTAAAATTAACAGAATTAGAGAGGCTAGAAGTTAAGGGATGATTTTAAAAAATTATAACAAGCAGAAAAATGAATTAATTTTATATATATTTTTTCAATCTACTCTAAAACATGCAAACTTTTTTTTTTAGAGAAATAGATATATGTATTTCTTAATTTTTAATGAAAAAGTTATAACAATTTTTTAATCGTTAATTTTTATGATTTAACAATACTAAAAACAACTGTTTTTCTATTCCATTCGATTGATTATTTAAAATAATGAAAAGTTACTTTTGCAATTTTGTTTTACGACAAAAATAAAAAATCACGTTCGTTTTGTGAAATTGTTATAACTTTATTAAAAAATAAAAAATTTATCAATTTCTCTGAAAAGATACTTTGCATTTTTTAGAGTAAATTGAAACATAAATTAATTAATTTTTCTGCTTATCATGTTTTTAAATTTCTGAAATCATTCCTTAACTTCTGCCTCCCTAGCTCTATTAATTTTAATAGTACGAGAAAAAGTCAATAGACCATTTTTAAGTACAATTTTATGCCCTACAACTTTTTTTTCTAGCTCTTACCCCTTTGGATGCGAGTTATCTTGAAAAAACCTTTCATTTTATCTTTTTTCACCTCTAGCCGGGAGTTGAAAAAAAAATTGCTGTTACTTTATCATTATATTATAGACCTCAAACAAACGTATATAAAAAAATGCAGGCAAGTTGACCAAAATTGCGATCTAAAGGCCCATTTATTTGATGTAGGTATTATTAAAAAACTTTCTTGGAAAAGAATTAATTTTGAATACGAAAATCACAATGAGATACATATTTTAAACGTATATCTATACAGAGAAAAGTTATCCATACGTAGTTGATAAGACTAATGATGATAATGAATTATTATATATAGATGCCAAGTTATTATGACCTTGAAAGTTTTCCTTATTTGTTCCAAATAAAAGAATATACTTTTGGCCCTTACAATTAGGTATTTCTAAAGTCATTTTGTCTCAGTCATTTTGTCGAAAAGCAAGAATTTTTAGATGATTAAATAAATAAATACATATTATTTATTACTGCAAAAAATTCGATAAAGAATGTGAAGTACAAACATATATTTTGTAGATGCAAAAAAATCGGTTTTAATTCATTGCATTTTATTGTATGTGTCTGACATGTTTATTATTTGAAACTTGTACCTTACCTTCTAATATCGGTCTAACTTTAAACTCTATAATTTAAAAACCACGGACACGACGCATTAAAATATAAAACGTATAACACCACTGCCGCAATTCGCAATTGCCCTGATTTATAGGGCGAGGTTTTCTTACTGCGTTGCCAAACCTGTCAGAATGTTTTTAAACTTTAAACGAAGTAGGTTAAACAAAGCAATTTCAAATCCAAAAACTTCCATAGTCTTTTGTCTGTATAAAATACTAAAAATGTAGCATGCTTTGTTGCAACCTATCATATATTATCACGTCTTAAAAATTATTTTATAATGACTTATAATTTCAGTTAGAGAGTATAGTTATGAGTAATCATATTTCTAGCGACTCACAATATACGGTTGGCAACATTGCTTTTAGTTGCAGGCAGGTACAGTATGTGGGTACTTCACACGGTTCATATCACAAACCATCTTTTACAATAGCGTCTAGAGACAGCCAATCTATTTTGCTTCGAAGCTCCCCATATACGTGCTTTTCCCGATTTTTAATAAAAAAAATAAACCCATAGATCAGCTTAGGTTTTTCTGTTATGTAAAATATGAAAAAGACTATTGTAACTCAGTCTATAGACGATTATAAATTCTATCGATGTCCGTAGCAAGCGGCACAAAGATAAATAATATTGAACCGTATAAAAATCATTTTATATTTTATACGCATTATGGTAATAGTGTTTTTATATTATGTGTGAGTCACTCTCTATAATACGTCATATAACAGATGCGCATGCAGAGAGTCTCGAAGCAAAGTGAATTGCCTGTCTCTGGATACAATTATAACTTATGTAGGTCCATATATGGGTACTTCACAGAGGGTGTTTTGTGCTTCACATGTGAAATAACAGTGGCGGCACTGGTAAAAATTAAACCGATTATATTTTGATATTGAAGCATGGGACAACTATACAACCTGCCACACCAGACGAACTCAGACAAATATTAAGACACCTAAAAAACAGAAAAGCCCCTGGACCTGACCAAATACATAACATTACACTAAAACGACTATCACACTGAACATAACCAACGCTACACTCTGTACACTCAAGACTCAGTCAAACACACTTCCCTACACGCTGGAAAACAGCAAACATAATCCTCATTCCTAAACCCAACAAGGACCATACCTTCCCTTCCAACTACCGGCCCATCAGCCTACTCCCGGCTATATGAGCAAAGTGGTAGAACAAATAATCCTTTCCAGCCTAAAAACCCACCCCGAAGAACAGCGAGTCATTCCTGAATGAGCTGAAGACATTTAGCTACCAACAGTATTTGCATTTAAGACTATAATTTTAATTTCTTACATATCACATGAAACAGTTAAATTGTAAAACATCTTATTAACTAAAAAAAAAATAAAATTTATTTGAAGTTTCAGCTTGTTGTAAACTAACATTTATAAAAGTAAATTAAAATAAACAAATTATGGTAATTAATTATCTATTAATAACTAATTTTAAATTTTGTAAACTATACTACACTCTACCACTACTAAAATAAACAATAATTGTTGATGGACATGAATGCTTAAAAAAAGTGATAAGAACAGAAAAATATTAGGAAACAGATTCGGAAACAAAACAGCTTATAATTAAATAAATGAGCAAAATTCGAAATACTACAGTAGATGCTGAAATTGTCCCCCACTTGCTTCTATGCAACTTAATTTTCCTCGAAAATGGTACATGCTACCGAATTTCGACAAGTATACCTTTTTTTTGTAGTCTGCTTTAGAGTTTACAGAACCGTTTAGAAATGTAACAAATTTTGACTTTTAACATATTTCTTTCGATTGTACTCCTCCAATTACCTGTATCGGTGACACTGCTTTTCAGAAAGGAACCATCTGTACCACAGACCACCTAGACTGGCCGTATCTAATTCCAATGCACGGGTACCAGTGAATGCAAAATCCGGGGAAGTGGAGTGTGGAAGGCAATCTCTTTAAGCAGCGGATTAAGTAATATTTTTATTACATATATTAAACATTATATTGCATCTTATGACAAATATTCAATTTTAAGTTTGTAATTATTCAGAAAATAGTATATTTTAGTGTCATATTAACTAAAACTACAAAATAATTTAAATATATTTATTATCCTCTAAATAATATTAATTTATTTAATATTTGCCTTTTCGTAGATTTTTTTAGATTTTTAAATAATTTGACTTCATGATTTATTCGTACATCGATATACTTTTCACATTTAGCCCTTACAAGTTCTATTAAATGATTACAATTGTTAGGCAAATTATCAAATTGATGTTCATGCAAATTTTCAAATATGTTCACATTCAGAAAGTTTTTTAATACATGATAAACAATTTTATTTTTCTGTAGCCTAAGTGTTCTGCTTTCATCATTATTTAAAAGTTTTATTAATTTTTCTGTTTCTTAGCATATTACTACGACATCTCGAGATGGATACGTCAAACAACCACGATCTTTAATAAAAATTAATTGACTGTACGAATACTGAATCTGAAATTAGATTTGTTTGCGATTTTTTTTAATTGAAAAAAATATTTCATTAATTTTCAGCTATCTCGAAATGACGGGAATTGGTAAAATTTCATAAAAATTTAAGACTCGCATAAAGTAAATAATTACTAAAAATATTTTACAGTAATTCATTCATTATTTTATAATAACAATATCACGTTAATCACTACACTATGTGAGAGAACAAAATTATAAAGCTAACCCTGGAAACTTGTGACGTTAACCGAAAAATGGCGTACATATTTACCTTTTATTTATTCTTTTTTTGTACTTACCTAAAGAAGGAAAATTTTCGCCTCTCTTCACCAACTCAATCACTTCTATTTATACAATGTTTTACAATACACTTGCCAATTATAAACCGTCTAATTATCGAAATCACAGCGATGCGTACACATCAAATGCTAGAACACGACTGAGCGCTGGGCTCCAAATCAGGCTCCAAAGTGTTTATGTTTACTCGTGTACAAATTTTGACATTTTTATCTTTAGCCGATTTAAAGATAAGTAACAACTGGAAGACTGTATCTCGAAAAACAGGGCGTCTAAGAAAAAAATGTTACATGAACTACCCCTATTATTTTCCCATGGGGAACTTGCACACAAGTTTTTTTGAAACATGAACGGGACACCCTGTCACACAGGGTGTGTCTTAATTCGACTGCCAATCTCTAAAGGATGTCCATTAGTCAAAATGAACACATAAAGTACTAGCGGCAACACGCTCTTGGCAGTCCTCTGGGCTACAAAAAAAAAATATTTTTAGGACTGTAGATTTATTAATATCTCTCAAGTTTTAAATCACAATTATTTGCAAAATCAAGACTATGGAATTATATATTTTACATTAGTGAAATTCGAGTCAATATACACATGGCTTTGTTTGAAGCAGCATATTGCACCAGTCATTGTGAATAAACATTGATAAAATTATTTTAATCTGTAAAATGATAGGAAATAAGTCAGCATATTTCTTTATGTTGCTGTGAAAGCAGATTTACTATTGTTAAATGAGAAATGTAAACATTGGACAGAATAATATTTTTAGAACTTCTGTTTAACAGTGCTATCCAAAAAGTTTGCAGGGAAAAACTTTATGGATAAATTTAATGGATTTCTTTGATTGTCAGTTGTCTCTGCATGTCGTCAAATGAAAATATTGCCCATTGAACTTCATAAAACGTTTTTTATATACAAGGCGCAGACAAAAACTGCGAATCTGCCGAAGAGTAAAGTACCCTCATCAACTCTAGGGGAAAATATTTTAAAGAAAAATTATTTTCCTCTAAAAGATTAGCCCGAATATAAAGTTTCATTATAAAAAGCGATACCTGACAATTTTGTAACTTTCCCTCGTACCATAATTCGAGCGAAAACATCCATCACTAAAGTGTGAGAATAAAGTGTGAGAAAACACCCCTAAAATTGTGAGAATTTTTAGTTCCGCTAAAAGTTGTGACAAAAGCTTATAACTGATTCTTTTATTTATTTATATATTATCTATCAATTGTAATCACCAGTGACTCTAACTCGATAATATTCCAATATCAGGTATTTCAAATGGTTCCTAGAATTTTAAAAGATTAGGATAAGAGAAAATAAATTAAAACGAAAGTTTAATAAATTTTTCAGTCCATAGAAAACAGTATTCTGGATTATAAATTAATTAAATATATGATCTAATGTCTAATGTTTTAAGAGTTGGTTAATAAGGGTCTGTGGCTAAATTTTTAATTAAAAAATCCTGACAGACTTTTTGAAAAATACCTCGCAAAAAGATCGCTACAGAAAATGAATTATCAACAAGATCATCAAGTTCATTCAAATCGTATGTCAAAAAAAAATAATATACAGGGTGTCCCGAAATTAATGCAACAAAATTTGGTCATAGATTCTTAAGACAAATTTAGGGGATCCATATTTTTTCTCTTTGCCAAGTGGTCCTCTCTTCCGGAATTACAGCCCCCTGAAATCCGCCCCTGAGAATAGTCATTTTTATATCTCATAACCCTGTTGTACGAGAATCACTAAATTTGGTACACAGGGGTTTTATGACATGTGGAATCTGATAGTGTTACACTTTTTGGCAGGGAACCCCTTTTAGACTATTTTTGTGGGTTCCCTTGTCTTTGGAACCAAAAAAATTTGGTCGCAAGTTTGAATTTCTTAAAAAGCCATAGAATTTAGAAACTTTTTTGTCCTCCGATATTTTTTTCGTAAAACGCAATGTTTTTGAGGAAAATGGCGAAACACGATATGCATTTGATCACATTTTGACATTTTCCACGGAAAAAAGTATGAAGAGACAAACAAGTTTCTAAATTTAAAGGCTTTCTAGAGGACTAATAATAATTTTTAAGAATTTAAATATGCGACCAAATTTTTTTGGCTCCAAAGACAAGGGGGCCCACGAAAAATTGTCTTAAGGGGGTTTCCCGCCAAAATGCATAGCACCATCAGATTCCACGTCATAAAACCCCTGTGTACCAAATTTAGTGATTCTCGTACAACAGTGTTCTGATATATAAAAAAAAGATTATTCTTAGGGGTGGATTTCAGGGGGCTGTAACTGTAAAAAAGGGGCCCACAGAAAAAATAAAAAATAAGGGTCCCCTAAATTTGTCCCAAGAATCTGTGATCAAATTTTGTTGCAATAATTGCGCGACACCCTGTATATAGAGGTACAAAATTTAAGGAGGTGAAAGTGGAGCCAAAAATAGTAAAAAAATTTCCTATAGACATTGGTCCTCCGGAGCACCATGATTGAGATATGGCCGTCCAAAGAGGTCTCATTATTTGGATAGTTTTTAAAATAACTTTCTTTCTGATTAAGATAACGGAATGAAAATTGTAGGTAATAATCATACCAAAAGGGTCTTTAACTCTCGTAAGTTTCATCAAAATCGATTATAAATAAGGATAGTTTTCTAACTACTCTAAACAGAAATTTTCTTAATTTTTTTTTATTCCTTTGAATTATCAAGCAAATAATATTATTCTTTAATGAATCCCTACTTTTTTTTTCGAATTCTGCGTAGTTTAGTCAGGAATAATTATTTTTAAAATAATATATGACTCAGAACAGTAACTTTTTTTAACGTTTTCACATAGTAGGCATCTTTCATGGTGACAGTTTCGTTGTAATGATACTAATGATTGTCACTTTCGCGGACTATCATTTAAATTCTTACGTTTCTTTTGATTCTTTTATTTATTTACAAAATAATTATTTCTGACTAAACTACGCAGAATTCGCTAAAAAGAGTAGACATTTTTTCTTCAATAAAGTCTAATTCATTAAAAAAATATTATTTGTTTGATAATTCAATAGAATAAAAAAAATTCGAAAAATTTCTGTTAATGGTAGTTAGAAAACTATCCTTATTTATAACCGATTTTGATGAAACTTATGACAGTTAAAGACCTTTATGGTATGATTATTACCTACTACTACCATCCAAATGATGAGACCCCTTTGGAGGGCCATATCTCAGTAACGGTGCTCCGGAGGACAAATGTTTATAGCAACTTTTTTTACTATTTTTGACTCGCTTGATTTCTAACAATATACTGTTAAGGAATATTCATCTCCGGACAGGGCGAACTCGAGGCACTCTGTATATCGGCGTTTTATGAACAAATGCCGGATAACCAAAACAAGCGGAGATCAGCCGTTCAGGCGCCAGCCGGTGAAGAGGCATAAGATAGGATTATTCATATATATGAATGTTTGAAGCGATCATATTCATATACAGTCTGTTCATTTTCTATAAATTTTTTGTTAATAAAAGTGTATAATCGAATTATTAATTAGCATTTATTTTAACAATATATACAGCGGTTCTTAATGGGCCATTGTATGAAACAAAAGTTTTAAAGAAAACATTTCATATTTTTAAAAATTTATTCAACAAAAAAATATGAAACAAAAAATTAACAATGTTAAATTATACCACCAGAAAACATGAACAATAAATTATATTAAAATATAATAGTATATATATCTCCACTAATTATATAACTAGTACAAATACTTTGACACATTATTTTCTTGATTCTTTAGTACCCTCTGTAATATATTCCCTACTTACTCATTTGATCACTGAAAAATAAATGAATTATAACCCCATGTATTTTTTATAGAAATGTAACATACCCATAATATCTAACAGCCTTCATTTTAAATGCAGTAGAATTTTCCTTGCATTTGTAAGCCAGGACTTGCTTAATCCTACTTATTTCAACCATAGGAAATCTTGTGGCTACATATGCTGAAAAAGAATTGACTTAAAACATTTTTCTTTTTTCAAATATACAGAACTTTCATAAATGATTACAAGCCACGTAACCAGTGATTTTGTTTGGATCAGTAATTTAATTTCCAAATATAACAATAAGATCAACATTACATTAAAATGCAATATTCTGTTTCACAACCAAGATCGCATTATCTCGAGCGTTGACGTAACAGTTTGTCATTGTTAATTGTAAACGAATCATTAATATTGGTGACGCCAAAATTTAGGGATTTTTAGTTGACAGTATCAGCCGCGCAATGTTGGCTGCCTAAGCTCGGCAATTACGTGGCTTGTAATCACTTATGAAGGCTCTGCATATCTATTCAGTGAAAATATTATCCAGAATGGCTTAAAATTATTAATTTGAAATATTTTTATTAGCATATTCTACCATTAAAAGTAAGTTATTAAAACCCCTTAATGGTGACCCCTGAAAAATCGCTTGTCCCGTGTTATGACTGCTGCAATAAATGGTATAAGTTCCAGTCACTTATTCTGTCCTTGCATCATATTCTTGTTGGTTTTTTCAGCTGATGCGTATGCTCTGGCCATTTGTTTAAATTTGTTTTAAATATTGTTGTATTTGCTTGTTTTTGTAAGTAATAATATGCACCTATATCTAATACATTTTGAATGTTGAAAAACACTGAATATATTTCTGGTGTAAATTTAAAAATAAAAAATGAATAACGTATTTACGTATCCCCTCTTTATTTATAATAATATTTCACTTTAGCTCAAATTTATATTTGTTTAATAGCAACTATAAAAAATTACTTCAAAATTTTTTAAAAATTTACGTATTGTTTGTTGTGGCACTGATAACATAATTTATCGGGAATCGCCGCGATCAATATCTGGAAGAGTACTTATTTGAAAAATTTGAAAATTTAGCAACTTATCAGTCAGTGGGGCAAACACAACTAAAATATTTTCAAGTTCATATTTCAAGTTTAAATTTTATGCTTCAAATTCAAAATTTCAGTTCAAATTCGAGATTTCAAGTGCAAAGAGTGACCGCAAAAAAGCCATTTTTCCGCTTGTTTTTGAGACTTTGACAGAGCCGACAGGGAAAAATCCTAAAAATATTCTAAAATTATCCAAATACTACTCGTCATGAAAAATGAAAATGAGCATCACTTTAAGTTTTTCGAAAATCACCCTTATTTAGGGGTTGAAAAGACAAAAAAGTCAGCAAATTAAGAATCATCAACAGTTGTAAAACCCCAAATACTTCTACGTTGTTATCAAAATAATATTATGAACGTGAAAATATTTGATTTCGTATTTGATATGATCTTGTCTGGATTGAAAATCAACCCATAATATCCCTAAATGCCTAAAAATGCAAAAAATATATTAAAAGTTACAAATTTTTTTCTTTGTCTTTTATATGTATATGGTTGAACTTAGAGGTGGTTTTACCCTCATTTAGGGGTATTTTCCTCCGAATCTAGTGATTGTGGGTTATTAATGGTTCAATTACCATGTATAAAAGAAAAAGAAAAAGAATTGTAACTTTTAATATATTTCTTGCATTTTTAGGTGTTTAGGGGATGATTTCACCCCTTTAGGGATATTATGGGTCGATTTTCAATCTGGACAAGACCGTATCAAATACGAAGTTAGATATTTTCATAGTATTATTTTGATAACAACATAGAAATATTTGGGGTTTTACAACTGTTGATGATTCTTAATTTGTTCACTTTTTTTGTCTTTTCAACCCCTAAATAAGGGTGATTTTCGAAAATTTTCAAAAAACTGAAAGTGACTCATTTTCATTTTTCACGACGAGTTTTTGAATATTTTTAGAATATTTTTAGGATTTTTCCTGTCGCCTCTGTCAAAGTCTCAAAAACAGGCGTATTTTGCGGTCACTCTTTGAAATTTCAAGTGCACATTCAAAATTTTATATTAATATTGGAAATTTTAAATTCACATCCAAAATTTTTAGGACTCACCCGAAATTTCGAGTTAAAACAGAAAACTTTGAGTTTGAAACTCAAAACTTAGGATTTTAAACCTGACATTTCACGTTTGAACATAAAATATCAAATTTTAAAACAAACTTGAAATTTTAAATTCGAGTTTGAAATTTCATGTTTCAAGTTCAATTTTGAAATTTAAAGTTTATATTCGAAATTTCAAGTTCAAATTTGAAGTTTCAAACTCAAACTTGAAATTTTGTGTTCAATTGAAATTTCTTGTTTTACTCTAAATTTCAAGATTGAAGCCAAAATTTGGTGCACAGAGGAAAATAAAGAATTAGTTTTTTAAGAAGTATTTTTCTACATAGGCTCACAGTAAACGTTTTACTTTTCTAATCATGGAAAATTGCAATAAATTAACAGTACTTGATGTGTACAATGCACTATGTTTCTTTTTCAATTTTTTCTTATAATGATAAACTTTAGTTTAATAAGTTTAAAATTTAAAAATCACAGAAAACGATTTATTAATGTAATTTCGAAAATTTCTTCTTTATTTGATTGACTTTCTAATAGAAAATATGATAAAAAACTAATGTTGCTCTAATTTATATTCAGTAAATCTCTAGTAAGAAGTAAACAACATTTAGTTTAGTACTCCTTTAATAATATGTAATAAAAGGGAAATTGAGATTAGTGAAAAAATCCACTGCATAGTTATAAAAATATTCACTTCAGTACAGGGTGATTCACTATATCTTGACACCCATTAATTTTTTTGTTTTTAAAGTTATAAAAAAATGTGATATACAAAAGTTGCACGATTTTTTATGAATTTTTCAAAAATGATAGAAAAACAAATGAAGTCCAACCAAAATGGCAGCAGATGTTAATTTAAATGAAACACTCTGTACATTTTATCTGCTTACAACGACAAAAAGGTGCTTACATATTATTGCTTGAACTTTGGCCCTGTCCAGTGCTGGCTTCACAGGTCGTTCCCCGCTCCCAGCTCGACTCCACCTCTGTCCCGTTACGGAACACGTTGCCAGTTCCGCCGGACTGAAAAGAATTGTAGCTAAACCTCTTGTTAACTTCCTATAATCGTTCCACTTAACGCTACGTAATTGATCCTCGTAGATTTCTATCCCTTCCCCCAACTTAATCTGTAAAGTATATACAGTAGTTAACTATGAACAATATACAGGGTGAGTTAAATTTAACATCGGTCGCTGGAGTATGTTGTAGTACTTTCTGAAAGAAATATGAGGTAGGAAAACAATGACATTTTGGCAACGAGGTCTTCGGGTTTTGCAATAATTCTATGGGTCCGGGTTTCAGATGAAATTATTTGAATTCACCAATTTTGGGAAAACATAAATAATATACCCTAAGTGTTCACATAAAAAAACCCTGTCTGTTTTTCAAAAGTACTATATCATACTCAGATCCACTGTTAAATTTGAATCACTCTGTATAGAGAACATAAATTTGTATTATTAAAATTAATAAAATAAGAAATATTGTGGTAATTAGGCAGTTTGGCAGTATACACTAAAACAGATACAGTAAGGGTAGGGTTATAAAAAACAATAAAACTGCTATTTTTTGTACAATTATAAAATAATCACTAGCCTTTCTAATTCTGCCACGAATATTACTCTAATTCTTCAGAGTGTCTCAATATTCTGTGTAGATTATTGAGGTCAAAGTAGTATGAATCAACTAAAGCTACCCCTTCCCAAAGCTGTTTCGTTTAAACAGTAGAATGCGTTAAGGTTAACAAAAAATAAAATATGTGAAAACCATTATAAACACAAAAAAATTTACAAAAGAGAAAAACTTGACAGAATAAGCGTTCATTCATGTGATAAAATGGGAATTGAGACTGAAAGATTACTCACAAAAAAAATATGACTACAAGTATTTTGCTTATCTGTGAGTATTCTTACTATTTCTATGAATGCAATTACTTCGATTATCATGTTAGTGGCGCTCATCTGAATCGGACAAAGAATTTTAGAGTTATTTAAAAATAACTATAAAATTTTGTGAACTTGATGCCATCTGGTACCTAAACAAAACAACTTTGGATTTGGATTTGTCTTATTTCGACAGAATATCAGAACACTGCATTTAACTAAAACAAGGTCTACTGATCTTTTTTTAAGTCTCTCATAACTGAAAACTGATATTTTTTATAAATACTAACATCTTTTCACTAAAAACATTTAATAACAGTGTAAATTATTTACCAGTCTATTACTCCTTTCTCCGTCTCTTCTATCAAGTAATCTAGAAGATTCGGATGAATCGTCTAGTAAGCCACTTGTTTGGTGAAGACTAAAGGGCAGCCAGTGATCAGAAGATCTGCGCCTACGAAACCGAAGACCTAACACAAAATACTTTCTTAAGATATACTACAAAACCTAGGAGAATTATTTTATTATGTAAGTATTTTAATATATTGTCTAAAAGCATTTATTTGTGGCATTTCTTAAATACTTTTTCTTTTCTTGGGTATTTGGCCACTGAAAATAAAAAAGTTTAAAACTAGTAAGTACACAATTTTTTTTAATATAATTCAAATGTGTGGATTTAAAATTTATTTGGTTATCTACTTTTGTAGATGTATGAAACATCAACTATTAATTTATATTATTACTTATTTCGTTTTTGATGATTTGTAACCAGCATTGTTAAAATGAGAATTTGCAAAGTAAAAAAAATTGTGTGATGCGTTTTCTGTCAAAAATGCATGAATATTTAAAACTGTAGTTTTAACAAAAAACGCATGAAAATTTGGTGAATTATTTTAATTGTTATATGTTTATTTTTGGTATTGTGAAAAGATCAACAATAATATTCAAATATATTTAATGATAACATGTACATTTTAAAGAAATTTAGAAATATATTTGTATGTGTTTTAGAGCAATGAAGATGGCGTCGAGCAACACCGAAACTTTTGCAAAGAATTAAAAATTGTGTTTCTATAATTTGTAATTAATCTTCATCTCAATAAAACTTGATTAAAAGGTTTATTGTAGAGTATATAAAGTGATTATGGTTTCTAATTTATTGTTTATAAGTGATTAATAGCAACAATTAATTGTAAAAAACTAGTTTACTATAGATTTTGTCAATATTACTCTATACCAAGGGTCGGCAAGTAATTTTAGGTGGGGTCCGGATACTTTTGAAAATTTTTAACGAGGTCCAGAAAAAAATTCATATTTCCTATTTTTTATTTTAATTTGGACTAAAATTTAATCTGCTTACTAACCATTAAGAACTCAAAACACTCACACAATTGTAAAATACTAGAAAAAATGATAAGATTGGCACTTAAATGTAAAAAACATTTTTTAAATAATTTATTTGAGAAATTTATACTTTCAAAAAATTTTTGGCGGTCCAGTATTTTACCTTCCGCGGTCCGGACCTGGACCGCGGTCCGCCAGTTGCCGACCCTTGCTCTATACGTACAGGCTGTTACAAATTCGCTTCTCACTACAGGGATCTCAGAAACGGTAAGAGATACGAAGTAGCTTAAATGGGGGCAAAGTTGCATAATCAAGGGACCAACATAATGTCTCTAAAAAATCAAGGCTGACATGATTAGTTTTTGAAATATTTGAAAAAAACCGAAATTTTGGAAGTCGGTTTTTGTTTCATTTCAGCCTAGTTTGAGGTGATATTGAACAAAGAAAAACACTTTATCATGGCAACTTTTTGCCCTTTATCGAATGCCTCAATTTCTATATGTTTTGTTTCTCCAGGACCATCATCAACTTCATTTTTTTAAATATTGTACTGTTTCAGCCCGAACCAGATTCAGACGTTTTATCTCGAAAAATCCACCTTCAATGTGTTCGCTCCAAATTTATCTAATTTTTTTTTATATTTCTATGTTTATTAAATTATCGTACACTCCAAGTGTCGTTAGACCTTGTACAATCTTCCTAGTTATTTAAAATATTATCATCACCCGTTACAATAAAACATTATTAGAGTTTTTGTCCCGTGCTTATAATTGTAATATGTGCTTATAGTTATTTCTAGGGTTCTCGAGTGCTCAAAATTCAAATAAATTTCGATCTAATTTTTTTCAGGATATCCATACAAATATTTCTGACATGCTCTTTCACAATTGTGATTGCAGGTAAATTCCGATCATATTAAGCCTATCTTCATTTTCAACATTTGCCAAAATGGAAATGTTTTTGAACTTTTACTGTAATTTTTTAAAGTAAAATATTCATTTGGAGTTTTGCTTGTTCATATGCGATTTTAAGAATGAATTTATCATAATGAAATTAAAATTGTAATGTTTTAATTTTGACGCAACAACTTNTAAGCAAGTGTTCTTAGTGCATACCAATTTTCTCCAAAATTGAAGAACAAATCAATTTTCATTGAAATCACTTCAAGATTGATATTAATTTCAATGTTTTTACAGCATAGGGCTGAATTTCTATATGTTTTGTTTCTCCAGGACCATCATCAACTTCATTTTTTTAAATATTGTACTGTTTCAGCCCGAACCAGATTCAGATGTTTTATCTCGAAAAATCCATCTTCAATGTGTTCGTACCAAATTTATCTATTTTTTTTTTATATTTCTATATTTATTAAATTATCGTACACTCCAAGTTAGACCTTGTACAATCTTCCTAGTTATTTAAAATATTACCATCACCCGTTACAATAAAACATTATTAGAGTTTTTGTCCCGTGCTTATAATTGTAATATGTGCTTATAGTTATTTCTAGGGTTCTCGAGTGCTCAAAATTCAAATAAATTTCGATCTAATTTTTTTCAGGATATCCATACAAATATTTCTGACATGCTCTTTCACAATTGCGATTGCAGGTAAATTCCGATCATATTAAGCCTATCTTCATTTTCAACATTTGCCAAAATGGAAATGTTTTTGAACTTTTACTGTAATTTTTTAAAGTAAAATATTCATTTGGAGTTTTGCTTGTTCATATGCGATTTTAAGAATGAATTTATCATAATGAAATTAAAATTGTAATGTTTTAATTTTGACGCAACAACTTATCGAATTATGTATGACCAGGTGACGGAGATTTTAAACTCTAATGTTTTATTGTAACGTGATGGTAATAGCTTAAATAACTAGGTGGTAATCACAGAGTCTAATGACACTTAGAGCGTACGATAATTCAATAAACATATAAAATAAAAAATTTGAGATATTTGGAACATTAGAGGTGGATTTTTCGAGACAAAATGTCTGATTCTGGTTCGGGCCGAGGCAGTACAGTATTGGGGGTCATGAAGGCTTGCAAAAATGTTATAAAAATTTCCAGGGTCATATTTAAAAAAAATGAAGTTGATGATGATCCTAGAGAGACGAAACGTTACATATAAAAATTGATTATGCTATTCGATAGAGTGGCCATGAGAAAGTGTTCTTCTTTTTTTTCAATATCACCCCAAATAAGGCTGACGTGAAACAAAAACTGATTTCCAAAATTTCGTTTTTTTTTCAAATATTTTGAAAACTAATCATGTAAGCCTTGATTTTTTAGAGGCATAATGTTGGTCTCATGATTGTGCAACTTTGCCTCCCTTTTAAACTAGTTGGTATCTCTTACCGTTTCCGAGACCTCTGTAGTGAGAAGCAAATTTGTAACGGCCTGTATATTAGTGCTGATATTTTGGTCAAAAAATTGGTAGTTTGTTGTTTGCCAATCTAAGAACGAGTGCCTCAAAAAGGGACAATTTGCTGCTTAAATTGTAATAGGGAGTTAATCGGAATGCCCCTGGATCCTGATGGCTTACAAACGTCAAAATTTGCAGGCAAAACTCGGTCCTTATCAAACTTATCTGATAAATTATTTATCTGCCCACAGAAGTAGATAAATGAATTATAAACTGTCACGTTTGACAATTTTAGTAAAAATAAATGCATTGTCTGTAGAACAAAAGTCGGATTTCAATGTAGGTAAGAATAAATTTGTTAAATCCGACCTCTCACTGATCCTCATAGGAAGGAGTTTATTTAATTATTTTTTAAATTCTTGAATTTGCAGTGGCAAAATAACAGAAAGAAAAAAGAAAAACTAAGTATTTTGTATCATAATACTGTACTAGTATCGATAAAGACAATGCAGGAAAACTCAACTTAATATTAACAGGCCTTTATATTTCATAAATCAGTACATAAAAACTAATAAATAAAAAAAAGAATTACATATCGATAAAAAGACAATTTCATAATATCTATGGGACAAATGAAAAAGAGATTATGAAATATATATTTAGTTATTACCGTTGCTTAATTAAACGTTTGGGTAAAATTTTTATTAATACTAAAATTATTATAACTGCCTCGTTCGTATTTGACATCGACTCCATTCTTATGCAGCTTATTAATATTAAGATACTTAAAACTAGTACTGATCCCAGTCTTGAGGTCACCGCCCACACCGCTTTTAAAGTAACCATTAGTTAGTCCGCCATGGGCACTGATTACATGCCTGCGTAAGTACAAGTCCGTTTTAAAAGACTTTTGGCACATTTGGCACTGTACATATGTGGGATAGTGAATAAGCTTCATGTGCTGTCTCAAATTCGACAGGTTGCTGTACACCTTCCCGCACTCTTCACATGGCCTGGGGTCCAGCGAGTGCAGCTTTCGACTGTCGTTGCCTGCAACAAACCAATTATTAAAATAGATCGTTGCAAGCAAGACGCGCTGGATCCCATCCCACAGAAAAGCGGAACAGAATTAGATAAAACTTGTAGGTGCGCCGGTCGTTTGAACTTAGCTCTTTAATACTAATTCAATGTAAGGATTTTTACAGAACGACGATTTTAGTTTATATTGTGAATAATGTAATACAGGGTGTTCCTTTAATATTGCGAAAAAAAATGTAAGGAGCGATTCCTTTTAAAGGGGTATGTTAAAATTCAGTTTTTATTTTGTTTTTATGTTACTTTATCTTTCCTACACTGATATTTTTTATCATCTGCAATCCTCGAAAGGAATTGAAAATTGTAGACTTTATGATTGGACCTTTCTTTCTTCCTGGCAGATTGACTGGAGAAATTTATCGCAGAATTCTCAAAGTGGAATTGCCAACACTGCTTAAAAAAGTCCCTATTTTAAGACAACAGATGTTGTTTATGCATGATGACCCATTTCAGTTTGGTTGTTCCGCAGTTTTTGGACGGTGCATATCAAAATCGTTGAAGATAGAGGCGGAGCCAATCTTGGTCTCCACAGTCCCCAGACTTAAACACTCTTAATTTCTTTGGGAATCTCATAAATAATTGACTTACATGACTGAATCGAAAATTTTAAGGAATAACAAAATTGCATTATAATGTCTTGTGAGACGATTCGATAGAGCCCAGACATTTGTAAACGTGTTTGTCAAACGTGTTGCAGGATAGAAGCTTGTAATGAAGTTGAAGATCGCCATTTCCAATAGTTTTTATGAGGTTGTTTAGTGGTAGCAATAGTATTTTAGTGGAATAATGCCATTTTTTGAACGGCAATTTTCAGTTCTTCCGTAAAGAGTTAAATGAAAAACCGTTAAGGGTTGCAATTATCAACACCTTCTGAGGACTGCAGATGATTAAAAATATCGGTGTAGAGTGATAAGATAGAGTAACATCCTAAATAGCATTTTTCTATACTTCTCCAGCTGTGAGAAATAAAATAAAAATGAATTCTAATCTACCTCTTTAAAAAGGTATAACCTTGATAGCAGAGGTATTTGGAAACAAGTTTATAAAGAAAATCGCAATATCAAAGAATCGCCCTGTATATAGAATGAGAATATAAACATATGTTATATGTGGAGCAAACTATATAATTCTGAAAACAAGAGGTACTAGACCAGGGCGGATGTGTCGAAATATTCCACTTCTTGGATATAAGAGGAGGCAAGCTAATTTTTGCTGGAATACCTTCAGTACAACTCACATAATAAAAGTGTAGATATCTAGATCTGGGGGAGGTCCGGAACATTTTCAAAATTGCAAAAATGTTTAAAAAATAAAAAAATATTTTATCTGAGTTTTTTGCTTATATCTTGGAACCTATGCATTTTGGAAAAATATTGTAGAGGAAAAAAGTTTTAGAATTGAATTTTGCACAATATACTGGAAGTTAAAAATGTTGCAAAATAGTAATAATTGATGGAAAAAAAGGCAAAATAATCAAGTTTTTTTGGATAATTTTTAAGAAATATTTTATTTGCTCTGAGGGCATTTTAATTTTGGTAGAAAAAACTTTAGAGTATAATAAAACAACACACCAAATTTCATTAAAATCGGTTCGATAGTTTTCGCAAAATAATTAAAAAAAAAATAATTTTTTAATTTTTCAATTTTTCAAAATGTTGCACAGCCTCAAATAAAGCATCTAGATACTTGAAAATTTTTTCGCATAGAAAAGACCGCTCAACCTATCAAATGGTTTTTGAAAAATTGAAATCAGTTGATTAGGACAGCCACAGTAAATTTTTAAAGTTAACACTTTTTTTTTGTTTTTAAACAATTGATTACATTTATCAACTTGCAATTTAGTTTTTTTAAAAAATTTTCAAATATCTAGATGCCTTATTTGAGGCGTGCAACATTTTGAAAATTCGAAAATTTTGTTCAAAAAAATAATTTGCGAAAAACTATCTAACCGATTTTAATGAAGTTTGGCGTGTTATTTTATTATACTCTAAAGTTTTTTTTACCAAAATTAGAATGCCCTCGGAGCAATTAAAATATTTAAAAAAAAATATCCAAAAAACTTGATTATTTTGCCTTTTTTTCATCAATTATTGCTATTGTGCCACATCGGTAATAAATTTAAACATTTTTAACACACAGCATATTGTGCAAAATTCAATTTTAAAACTTTTTTCCTCTTCAATATTCTTCCAAAATGCATAGGTTTCAAGATATAAGTAAGAAATTCAGATAAAATAGTTTTTTTTTTAAATTTTTTAAATGGACGAGGGATCTACACTTTTATTATGTGTTGTACTGAAGGTAATCCAGAAAAAAATTGCTTGACCCCTGTCACATCCACCTCAAAACAGATCCGCCCTGGTCTATACATAAGTATTTAATAGCTTTTAATATAGAAACATTTTATTTTTCTATTTTTTAATTTCAAGTGTCATAATAATATTTATGGGTTTTGTTTTTTGGGATGTTGTCTAATACTTGCACATATTAGTGGGAGGTACCAATAATTTTTTAACAATAAGTTTCTATGATATTTAATTTTGAGACCTATTTATAGAAATACTATAATAAATGACTGGTTTTAAAATATCAATTCAAGTCGTTAGTGTTAATTGACCCATTTGCGACTTACATGTAGCGGATTTATTTTATAGTTCAATATTAAAAAATATATATGTTATTAAAATATTAACATACCGTGACCTGTGAAATCCTGTTTGTCCTTTGAGCTATATGAAGTCGTTTGTGGAATTATCTCCATGCCTCCTAAAATATAAAAATAAAAGCTTACGGCTTATTTGCACTATCATCAAAAGGGTTAGAGGACTTCCAAATATTATTAATATATTTATCGTGGTTGAAAATTAATTTCTAACTTATCATTTACCTGGCAATTCTGTTACGTCACCATGAGGATAGAAATTAGGCAAACCATCGAAATGGTCCTCTCTGACATCATCGTCAACGTCGACATCACTTAAATAATCGGGCAGTTCAACCTTGGGTTGCAGTGCGTTTTTGGTTAAATCTAATTGATTGATACTTTCACTAATGGCAAATGTGTTGGTTGTGTCGTCTTTCCTCAATCTGGGTAGTTCCGACTCGGACTTGCATTGTCTCTTAGATGGCGGACTAGAGTTATTTGGTAAATTCACATCGGGAACATCTTGACTAGAGGTTACAGTGCTCGACGAAGAAATTTGTGGCCTCTCAAGTTTATGTTTATTATTTGCACATGTAGGCAAATATTTCGATGATTGGGGGTTGAGGTATAAAGTATCTTCTTCTTTATGTGAATCTGTGTCAGAGGAGGTGTCAGTTAGGCCTCTTATTTTGAGGGACTCTGCAGTTTTGAGAAAAGCTGATAGGTGAGCTTGGGCAACATTCACTTCCCCTGCATACATGAATTCCATCAATGCTACTATGTGACGAGCCTCGACATCTCGCATGAAGACGATTGGATGAGGACATGGGTTGGTCTGAAACGGGAAACGGGTATTTTCTATGAAAGTATAAATAAAATTTTAATCTGACAGTGTATTTATTACACACTCTTCGATAGTAATGTTCATAAAATTATCAATTAGGTTAGTTGATATAATTTTAAATTGTACTTAATTGTAAAGAATCGCAGTCCTCTTAAATTTTCAAATAAAGGCGGGGAATCAGGGTTCCAACAAAAGCAAAACATATTTTCTGCAACTGCAATATCAATGCAGTCACGAAGAAGTCTTGGAATATTAAAAATGCTCATTTGCACGATTTAGTAGTTTTCTTACTTTGAAAAGTTCTTTAAAGAATGGACTACATGCAGAAAGGACAACTTTATGAGCTTGAAGCCTCTGTCCATCACAGGCGATCGTGACATCAGTGAAATCTTCGTCATCACGTAAAGTTTCAAACTGAGAAGTTATATTTGCTTGAAAGTTATTCCATCTCAAACAGAACTGCTGGTCATCAGCTAAAGCCATTCTCTGCTACACTAATCACTTTAATTTATAAAAAAAAGTCGAAGAAAAGAACTCGACGGTTTTATCTGCTGCAAGACCATCTCAGACATAAAAATAAACTACCTTTTAATTTTAATCAATACGAGTCTTTCTTTTGACCAACCAAGAAAAAGAAGTTTCCCTGTTTTTGTCTGGGAAAATTAAGAAATATTTCTTCGTCTTAATTATAGTATCAAAGTTCATTATAGTTTTTATGACTTATTAAAGGCAGATTTAACAAAAACATTTTTTTTAGTAAATTTTGTTTTTGTTACTATGCTCTTTATGCGATAAAAATTTTAAATGACGTAAGTTATTAATTACTTACTATTTGTTATAGGTTAAGCAGATATTTCATTTTTTCTATCGTAATAATCACCTAAAATTTAAAAATGAATTTTTTCCCAATATTTCATACATTTTTTAAATTTAATTTCAGTGCATATTGGCTATATATTAACTTCTAACTTCATTACATTCAGAGATGTTTTCGATCTAAGTTCACATTCAGTGGACACTCCTCTCAGTCCTCTCTGTCCTTTCTTTGTTTTTGAAAATGTGATTTCTTATTGGCTGAGAACTTATGTCTGTGTCATCACTCAAGGAATAGAGACCAATCAAATGTCTCACTCCCTGATAGAGATTGTTCCGAAATTACTCATCCTTGTTCCACATTGGACCCGATTATTTAATTCAATGAGTTTTATCAATGTTTGACTGGTCTGTTATTTTTTGACAGTTGACAGACACCCATCTGTCGAGGGGGTTGTGCAAGGTCTTTCCAAGTTATTAAAGAAATATGATTTGAAGTGAAATTAAGTGAAAATTAATGTCGATACATTAAATGATAATTCTGAACTTTTAAAACTGTGAAAACTGTTACAGATATTAGTTATGTGTTTGTGATTTTGCCATAATTTTTGGTATTCGAAATATGAAATGTCAAAAAGTAAGTACTAATTTATTGGACTTGATGAATGAATAAATTGTTTTAGACCATGATATTTTAATAGTTTTTATTCACTTTTTCAACGTCATACGCTCAACATGTGTTAATTTTATAAATGAAGTAATGAGTCACAGTGGGGCCAGGGACAATCAAAATGTCGTTATTTGAGAGCTGAGCTAAGCAGGGCATTCGCACATTATTTGCCAGTAAATAAATAACGTTATTAAGCTGTGATAGTTTGTAATATGTAATTATTTTAGTTGGCACGTTTTTATTTTTTATAAACTCAATTATGCCTGGAATTACAGAGTATCTACATTAAATTATTTGTTTACGTGAATAAGAAAATATATGTTTATAATATAATGTAATATAATGTTACTTAAACTAAACAAAATTCCGCAAAGTAATGTAACATAGGTATCCACTTTCACTAATTTCGTTTTACCATATAAAGAACATGGAATGATTATTGCTAATATCTCGCACATTTTATGTAGGTATGCACTACGTTAGAACTGTGGCAAACAATTGTTAAATTTATTATCATTTGTGCCTGTAACTATGATGTAGCTAAAAATGAGAAATGAGCTCAGAGTATTCTTGATAATATAATTATTATTCAATGTCATCAGTCATCATATTATCATATTAACAGATAATAATTATAAATGGTCATAGTTCATATAACGGAAAATTCTAATTGTGGTAAAATTTATCATAAAGTACATTTTGCATTAATTTTAAAATGTTAACATCAAAATGCCATATTCTATATTATTTGTTAGACGAGTTTTGTATTTTTTCAATTTTAGAATTTGATTTTTACATGTAATGAAAATACAGAATATTTTATTATAAACCTTTTGGAAGGTAATAGATAAAGATATATCTACTTTATCAAATATTTGTGAAATTCTGCTTAGGACAGGTCAGGGTCAGGTCCTGTGTAGCTCCGATATTATTAATTTCTAATTTCGGATTTAATGTGTTATATAGGGTGTTCAATAAAAAACACGCAAGCTATAACTCCGCCATTTTTGGTTCAAATTAAGAAATTAATATGTTACGTTATTTAACTAATGTTGGTATCTACTGCCATTTTTTCAGTGCTTATTTTAATGACAGCTGATTGTCATTATTATGAGAACAATAATTATATTTTTTGACTTTATCTACGATAATTATATATTTTTCGGGAAAAATTTTCGAAACAATTTGCAAAATACTGTAAGTATTAATTTGACCTTCGATTTGAATTTTAATCTAAATAGTTCAGGCGATAGAGCAGTAAAAGTAGGCTTTGGCGTTTGTGTTTGAAGTCATCAATTTTGTTGTACAGAAAAATCCCAAATATTATGTAGAATAAGAATCCGAGTTTGCCTATTCCAAAAAACTATTGCTAAATTCAGGGGAACAACAAACATACAAAAAGAACGAAAACTGAGCCGTTTTTCGACATATTTTTCCCTGTAATATTGAAAGTAAGCCCTAAATAAAAAAGTCATTCTTTATTTTTTGTTTATTTGACGATTTTCTATAAAGTTACAATAACTGCGAATCAGAAAAGTTGAATTTTGCATTAATAATGGGCGAAAAATAGAAAATTATATGTCAATAAGTAAATATTTATAAATATTGATGAAACTTGTGTTGTGAACAAATAATAAAATATATGTCAATTCTGCCCTAAAAATTTAGCAACGATCGATCGCGTGGTTTTCGATCGACGGGATTGTTAATTAAGAAAATTTCAAAAAATTTATCGCGTACCCTAGCTTTAAATTAAGGTTTAGAAAGGGCACACAATTTTTTAGAGATAGTTGTTTTCATAATAAACATTGATCAATACTAAAAAATACCTATTTTTACACTTTCATAACCATTTAGAATTTTTTTAAAATGTTCAACATTTTACTTTATAAACAATTATTTATTGCCCAGGGAATTTTCTATGCAATCGACAAACTCTTACACACATAAAAACTACGTAACCCCTTGCTTTTTAGCCAAATGCGACAGCATAGAGACATAGACTTCAATGAATTAACATCGGAATTAACAAAATAAGAAAATATATATATTTTTAATTTTGTCATTGAAACGTGAATTTCGTGGAATGCATTGATGAAATAAAACTTGATTGCCATAATATAACTATTTTTTAAAAGGAATCGAAGTAGCATAATTCTTTAAACTCAAAATTCGTGCAAATATTATTTATTTTATTGATTTTTGATGACATATTCGTATTCCTCTCATTATGCTATATCAAATTTAAAAAAAAATCGTCTTGATAAGTGCTACCGTTCCCGAGAAAAATCATCTTTTTCCATGCATTCTGTCGAGTCCAGGAATGATGAATGAGATTTAATGAAGGAATAATTTGACCGGGTCTTGTACTGAGGACGTATCAGTGAATTCGTAGACATCTACATCTATAGATAGGCTTATACCTGGCATATAAATATGAGTAACACCTTATCTGAACAATTTGACTTGTGACGGCATTAGAGCAGAGAAATAAAAGGTTTTATCTTTCTGCGGGAAATATTTCGTAAGATAGTATTAGCATTAGTGTGATACTAACTGTGAGTGATAATTGCGGGATAATGTGGTGCAAAATCTGAACATTTTTATTTGCACTCCTTATCGCATCGTTCCGAAGATATAGTTTTTGTGAGTACTTATTGTTTACAATGCTTAATTTTGTTCTATGCAGAGATGCTGCATCGTCTATGCTAATCCAAAAACTCCCGCAAAAGTTACCCCTGAGCATAGGTTATTGTTTTGTTCTATAAGATAAAAAAATTATCTATGTTTTGTTACTAAAAGTATAGTATAAATACATGAAAACATGTTAAAAGAATTAGATGCATTCGGGGTAAAGAAGCGCTAAAGAAGGAAAATTATAAGGGAGGTCTTGAATTTTCACGAAATTTAGAGTTTATAAGGCGGAATAATTTGAAAAAAAAGTTCTATTTTTGTGGTATACTAAAAGTGGTCTTAATAAACTAAAAAAAAATTACAAAAAATGTTTGGTACATTCGTAACTCTATTTAGGCCATATTTTAACACGTTTAATAACACATATTGATTAATAAAGCCCAACATGCAAATATATAATAACCATTATCAGTCACCTAATATTTGTTTAGTTCTGGGTTATGAATAATGTTCATCCAAACAGATACGTAGGATTTCATTATTTGAGGCTGAATATGGGTACTAAATTTTCCAGGGTGCCTATAGTATTTTTACCTTAAAAAATAAGGTCACTGAGTCGTCATATTTTAACAATTTTTCGAAAGTGATAACAAAAGATGCAATACAATACAATTATTATTATAAGTGGCAAATTTATATGTTTTTTCACTTTTTGCTGCCCATTGATAGCTTTAAAAATAAGAGAAAATTGTAAGAAAACCAACTGAAATCATTTTATTAATTGTTCTGATTCAGTTGCAAAATACCAATTCATAGAAATACAGCTAATAATACAATAACAATAATCTTCATTAGAATAATTATTTTGCATTTTTCTTGATGAGCAAATACTTGATACTAACTTTAGAATATTGAATGACAGTACCAATATTATTTGATGATATTTATATGATATGTATATTATATATATGTAATATGTAAATATTACAATATTTTTAATGTAATATTATTGAGAATGTAAGTAAACCGCAAATATCTGATAAAATTGAAACTGTAACCCCTATAATGCCTATATCGCTGAAAAGAGAATTTTGATTTTCTATAATATGATGCAGAAAGATACAGGGTATTCCATTTGAATTTAAAAAGATTTGTCTGTTTTCAAAATGTAACATGAAAAGTGGGACGCAGTATAATTTTTTTCAGGTAAATTTGATAGGGGGAAGGTAGTGCATCTTATGTTCTTTGTGTATTCCGAAAAGCAAGTGAAAGCTCCCAGAACGAAGATAGATTTACGGAATTTTCGAAACGCTTGCATCTGTCAAAATTTTTATAAAATGTCGATTTTCTAGAAAATGGTTAGATTTAGGTACAGAGAAGCTTTAACAATTTTGACTTATTTTTAATTTATCTTGTCGATAATGCAATAATATACAGGGTAGCCCATCGAAAACGTACCGCAAGGCATTACAGGGTAGTAATGAACTTTTCGGCAAAATCCAAAAACAGGTAAAGTTTGCTTCTGAGGGGGACAACTTTTGGCGCAAAAAGCATAGCAAAATCTTCAACCCCCTAAGTGGGGGTGCCATCCCCCAAATTTTTTTAAATGGGAATGGGGGTCAAGTGGGGGGTCATTAGAAAGGGCTTTTAATTCTCTATACATCGATTCTTACTTTTTGAAAATCGATCCATTATTTTAGAAAATATGCAGCTTTGAAAATACGAACAATATTTTTGACGAGAAATGCGAAAATCGATTTAATTTTACTTCAAAACTTACGGTATTAGCTTGGTAAATTCCTTCAAAAGAATTCGCTGTTTTTTTTTTTGATTTGCGAATTCTTTAGCCTGATTTTGGTGAGCAAAAAATTGTCCGCTTTTTGTTTCGTATTTAGATAGGCCACAAGAAGTTGCTAGATAACTGTCTTGTGACTTGTAGTTGAAGAGTACCAATACTGCCGAGTCTTTTAAATTGATTAATTATGGTGTACTCAATTCCAGAAAGAGTAGAAATTATTGAGCTTTTTTTCAAAAACAATGAATGCGGAAATCGGGTCGCCGAACTGTTCAACCAACGGCATCCTGAGAAACATGCGTCTGGAAAAATTGTTCGCGAATTGGTGGCCAAATTTCGCGAAACTGGCTCCGTTCATAACAAAAAGAGGCAGGTTGAAAATCCGGTACTAAATGAACCTACGGAAATAGCGGTATTGGGGCAAGTGGCAATGGATAGTACGCTGAGTACAATGCAATTGGCTACTGCGACAGGAGTGAGTCGTACAAGTGTCCAACGAATATTAAAAAAATACAAATTCCATCCTTATAAGATTCGGCTAGTGCAAGAGCTAAATGAAGACGATTTTGATCGTCGTTTGCAATTTTGCGAAATAATGACTGAACGAGCGATAAACGATAATTTCCTCTTTAATGTGTGTTTTTCGGACGAGTGTACGTTCTTCTTGAATGGTTTAGTGAATCGCCATAATTGTCGTTACTGGGCTGATACCAATCCAAGGATTTTCCATGAGACACACTCCCAACACCCCCAGAAGTTGAATGTATGGGCAGGTATTTTTGGAAATTCCATTGTAGGTCCTTTTTTCCTTCCTGGAAATTTGACAGGCGATATGTACTTGGATTTACTACAAAATGTCATCGACCCAGCTCTAACAAATATCATAGAGGACGACCCTGCTTACAATGAACACGAACTGATTTTCCAGCAAGACGGAGCTCCTCCACATTACTCGCTCAATGTGCGCAATTACCTAAATGAGACGTTTCCAGGACGCTGGATAGGACGAAGAGGTGCAATTGAGTGGCCCCCTCGGTCACCCGACTTAAATCCTTTAGATTTCTTTCTCTGGGGGCACATTAAAAGCAAAGTTTACAGCACTCCACCTGATACCTTGGAAGATCTGCGAGGACGAATCATTAATGTATGTCGCGAAGTAACACCGCAAGTGCTCCAGAATGTTCGACAACGGTTTGAAGACAACCTGTATCATTGTATGCAAGTTGGCGGACAACATTTTCAGCATTTACTTGACTAATACCGTAAGTTTTGAAGTAAAATTAAATCGATTTTCGCATTTCTCGTCAAAAATATTGTTCGTATTTTCAAAGCTGCATATTTTCTAAAATAATGAATCGATTTTCAAAAAGTAACAATCGATGTATAGAGAATTAAAAGCCCTTTCTAATGACCCCCCACTTGAACCCCATTCCCATTTGAAAAATTTAGAGGATAGCACCCCCACTTAGGGGGTTGAAGATTTTGGAATGCTTTTTGAGCCAAAAGTTGTCCCCCTCAGAAACAAATTTGACCTGTTTTTGGGATTTTGCCGAAAAGTTCTTTACTACCCTGTAATGCCTTGCGGTACGTTTTCGATGGGCTAACCTGTATATGGTGTTCCAATATATATCTGATAATCCCCGCAAACAAAATTTCAGTCATATTGTCTTTGGTTCCTCTGAAACGTTTAATAGGCCACTTAGCGTGAACAACCCTGTATATCTAAATATAATTAATATAAAAACACACTTGATACATTAAAATTGTTAAACAGCAATAATTCAAAGGAATGTTATTCAAAGATGTTTTTTTGTTTCCACATTTTACTTGAGAGTGTCTCATTAGGTAGCTTCCCTTCTTTTTCAGAAAAAACTTTTTATTTAATGTGGCGCGAAGTGAAAATTCGGTTAAATAAAACAGCGCAACAAAACAAAGAAAATCCATAAAAAAACAAGTTTATTCAGATCAGTCATTAAGGTAAATGTTCTTTTACTGGTTTAGAAGCACCAAATAATCTATTGACGAAAAATTTTTATTCGAATTTTAAAAATTGGGTAAAAAACCGCAGTACATATTTGACTCCTAGTTTTCAAGACAAACCCACACGAAGAAGGTCGTGTTTACATACATGACGCCTATGCTGAACAAATAAAACTTGGTGTCTCCGAAGAATAACTTTTCAGGGGCAACAGTAATACATTCACCTTTATCGACAGCTTAGATAATTTAGACGGACCTGTGTACGTGAGAATTATCATACAGCGTTACATTTCGCAAAGGAACAGTGCAAATTTCTTCAATTTGCATTAGTTAGAAGTTCTCTTTTACGCTGTTTGGTTACTACGAAAATTTGTGATTTTTGTACCGACGTACCCTAAAGTTAATTGTTCCCCGTGGACGGTTTTGCTTGGGATAATCCTTATCTTTTGTCAATAGTGGACGTTAAGGGGTATCCAGTTGAAAGTGTTCATACCTGCGAACGATGTAAGTGAGAATAGTGCCCTACTTTCAGACAGCGGCGGATGTTAGGGGTTGTTTATTTTTTTGGTAAGATACTGTTATTGACTTAAATGAATAAAGTTAACGAAACAATTTAAATTGTGTGAAGTTAAAACCATTATGTAATACTTTAATTGTATTTTTATATAGGTACGTTTAAAGAAACAAAATTATGAATATATTTAGATGTCATTTAATTAGAAATATAACTACATACTTAGTCCAATTAAATAATCCTTTAAATCGAAATTTTGGTCAACTTGCCTGAATTTTTGATATGAGTTAATTTGAGTTATATTATTACAATAAGTGACAGTAATTTTTTGTTCAACCCCCGGTCAAGGGTGAAAAAAGATAAAACAAAGGGGTTTTATAAGATAACTCAAAAGGGGTAAGGGCTAGAAAAAAAAAGTTTCTTATAAAAGCTGTAAAGCATATAATTCTACATAAAAATGACCTCCCGACTTTTTCTTGTACTATTAAAATTAACAGAGTTAGGGACGCTAGAAGTTAAGGGAAGATTTCAGAAATTAAAAAAGTCATAAGGAGAAAAATGAATGAATTTTGTAATTTTTTTTTGAATCTACTCTAAAAAATATAACCTTTCTTTTCAGAGAAATAGATATATCTTTTAATTTTTAATAAGAAAGTTTTAACAATTTCAAATTTTTAATCTTTAATTTTAATGATTTAACAAAACTAAAACAATTTTTTTCTATACTATTCGATTGATTATTTAAAATAACGAAAAGTTCCCTTCGATTTTTTTTACGTTTGTTTTTGAGACAGATACAATTTATTTACGTTTTTATCTTTTGAATTTTATTTAGCTCCTACGACATTGCCAGGACAAAGATAGATTATTTCGTTCGCTATTGTCAATGCGCGTGCGTTAGTAAACGTGTGTTTCTTTAAATTAAAATAATATATAAAATAAAAATGTAAATATTAATAAGGACTAATATTTTCTGTTGATTAAATTTTGTAAAAGCTCGATATTTTTGCGCATTCTTGTCTATGTAAAACATGTGGAAATTTATTTATTAATACTTGTAGACTTGTAAGTTTGAATTATATTGGTAATAACAGTGATAACAATAACATAAATATATATCATATAATTTCCTGTCCAAAACATTAAGAGGACAAGAAATTTTCTTACAAGGAAACTACCCCAACCCGATTTTCAAGATTTTTATACACTGAGCTCGTAAAGTTTGGAATAAATTCGATAAATCGTTATTGAAGGGTTTTGACAGCAAATCCTCGGACACGTCAACTTTAGTTTATAAAATTTCACTTTTTTCAGCCATCGACTTTTTTTTGTTTTGTTTGTTTTTGAGCTATGACGTCATCGGCAATTTTTTTAAATGGCACCCCATATTTTTTCCACGGATTTCGATAGAGCACATTTTTCTGAGGACGAATATGTCAAAAACGTATGACCTTCAAAATGGAAGTTTTCGAGATATTCGGTTCCAAAGTTTCAAGAATGCATGATACAAGCGATGACAAAATACTAATCATTTATCAAGGAAGCGCTGGAAAAATTATAGTTTTGATAGTTGTCAGAATTTTGAAGTTTGTCCTCGCAAGTTTGTGTTTTATTTTAAGTTGATTAATCATTATTCTATCAGAATTCATTTTATTTGAAAATGGTCCGTCATTTGAGTGAAAGGGAAAGTATCGAAATTTAGATGATGATCGGTTANTTAATAGTCCAAGAATCTCATGAACGCTGCGTATTATCGAAAAATACCAAGAGACCTTTTAGATTGCTTTTGTATGGTAGTATTTAAATTTACTTTACATTCTTCGAAAAACTCAATGGCGTACTTTTTTTTTGAAAATGGGGCCACGCATCCCCCCTTTGCACGCCACTGGCTAATGCGATAGGACTAATATTCTGTCAGTTATGAGAACCCCCAATACGCATAATGTGTACCAAGTTTAAATCAAATCTACTCGTGGATACCCGAAATATGTAAAAATGTGTTTATTTTTTTTAAGCTTCAACGCCCTGTATCTCCAAAACAAAGGCTTTCATACAAAATTTTTATAGAGCAAACTACACTTAATTTTTGATAGGGAATACATTCCTGCATTTTCCAAATTTAAAGTGAAAACACCCTGTATATCATATAATTTCCTGTCCAAAACATTAAGAAAACAAGAAATTTTTTTGCAAGGAAACTACCCCAAAAATTACAAAATTCATTCATTTTTCTGTTTGTTATGATTTTTTTAAATTTATGAAATCTTACCTTAACTTCTAGCGTCTCTAACTCTGTTAATTTTAATAGTACAAGAAAAAGTCAAGAGGACATTTTTATGTACAGTGTAGGAAAGTACCGATGGTCTATCAGAAGTTACGTGAGAGCGATAAAGTAAGCCATAGAAATCCATGCGATAGACAAGGATGGCTATAATGAAGGCGTCTAATAGTCAACGCCCATTTCGCCCTTCCACAAGTCCATCCTTGTCTATCACATGGATTTCTATGGCTTACTTTATTGCTCTCACGTAACTTCTGATAGACCATCGGTACTTTCCTACACTGTAGAACTGTATGATATACAACTTTTATAAGAAACTTTTTTTCTAGCCCGTACCCCTTTTGAGTTATCTTGAAAAACCCCTTTGTTTTATCTTTTTTCGCCTCAAACTAACTCATCAAAAGTTCAGTCAAGTTGACCAAAATTTCGATTTAAACGCTTATTTAATTGGACTATACATGTTATTTGAGAAATGTGTAAAACAAGAACAATTTTACAGAGAGATGTATTAATATTCATTCGGTTTTAATTCAAAGTATCTGTTTTTAGTAACTAACTAGACGTTGACATTTTATTCATTTATGAAATAGTTTAATATAGTTAACTATACGTGGTTTTAAATGTTTTAATATTATTGTTGATATATGTCTATGAATTTTGTTTACGTATAAAATCCAGAGTCCAATTTTTTTGCGGTCACGGTCATCGCTGTCGCATTAAGTTTTTTTTCTCTTTCACAGTTATTACACTTTGATAATTATTTCACCAGGTTCAGATATTGCAGCAGCTTACGTAACTAAATTGCAGAGTTGTGTATTTGCTTCCCAATATAGTTTTGAGGTAAACCATCCAGTTGAAATACAATCAGATGAGCAAGAAGAATGTCTACCTTTTCTTTTTTCTAAACAATTGATTTAAAATTCTTGGTTTTCTAGACAGAGAATATACATGTCTTACAAAAGGGGCGAAACTTACCCTTTCGCGCGCCACTGGTATATGAAACGAAATAATTATGTTTGAATTGCACTTTAGAATCCATACCATTGGGTTTGATATACAGGGTATCTCGGAAAATACGTCATAAACAAACAAAATATCAGCGTTAATGGCTACATACTGGCATTTACTATATAGGGTGTTCTGAAAGTCCATCAGGAAACTCCGGTAGCGATTTCCTCGTAAACGGTTACATTTATCAGCTTGAACAGAGTACATAATTTTTTCTGATATTGTTTCTCTTGTCAATAATGTTTAAATTTCTGTGATGTCTAGTAAGAGAAAAAAGTTATGAACAAAACGAATTTTGAGTTCTAGGTACTTAAAGTGCCCTCTGGCGGCACATAATGAAACTTTTCTCTGACTGGTCCAATACAGCTTCATCTATGGGTGTACCAAATGAGAGACTAATTGAACATGAATTTAATAAGTTATTTAAATAGAAAAATAAAAAACTGACAAGCTGTAATTTGCAAACAATTGACTTTCATTACATACTGCTATTATTTTAATCCATAGAATCGAGTTTCCTGACGAACTTTCAGAACACCCTGTATAACTTTGTCAATATTTGTCTCAATGTTATAATGACTTGATTTTTACTTCGATTTTTGCCAATAATTAAAGAAAAAAATATGCAAAATCATGTCATCCAGCTCATCGGAAAGTCAAATTACCGTAACGTTGGATTTTTATGTATTATAGCTGTTTTACATTGACAATTTATTGATGAATAAATTGACTACGTTGTTCATGAATTAATTCACGAATTTATTGGTAAACAGTGTGGTTTTACAGTGCTACAGACTTTGTCAAGTTTTTTGACGTATGAATCAGTTGTACCAATGAATCAAAGAAGCAAATAAATTTCAAAATTTCACCTTTCCACTGATAATTGTAGTAATACAACTGCGGTACCGATCTGACACATATTATATAAATATTAGTTTTTGTAAGTAACAAATCAGTAAATACAATGCAAAACTAGTACGACGCCACAGAATTATTTACATATTCCAATAACATAACCTCATTACTGATCTGAGACTGAAAATGTGTTGGGTTGGTACTTCCGAACTTCACGAAGAAATTGACGAAAATTAGAACATGCTCTAATTCGTCAAGAACTTGATGAATAAATTCATGAAGTTATTTGACAGCAGATTTGGTGCATTACACTTGTCCAATTTCTTGATGAAGCGACTTCATGAATTAATTGATCAATAAATTGTCAATGTAAAACAGCTATTAGATAACAGATATGTCATATACAATAGTTACATTTGACAAAAAAATTGACGATCGCCAGCCATTAACTTTGAAAAATGATGAGACTGAGTGCTATAGTTTGCAGTATAGTTAGAATAAAGGCACTGCCACATATTTTCGAATCTACAGTGTTATCGGGATTATTAGACATATGATGGGAATATCCAATTTGATGAAACGGTCTGATGAAAGTCAAAATATTTTTCATATTATCAAATGCTGGTGCTCGAGGAAGATTATTGACAGTAGGTGCTTCAGTTTGTAGTTAATTGTTGATAATCGTTTGGCATGTCACATTTTCACTGACAGTTTTGCGAATTACAATAACAGAAAATCGGATAATCTTAATGATAATCGTTGGTCGGCTGACATAAACTTTTCTATAATTGTTTTACATCTAAGTGCCAGATTATTTTTAAAAATCTGACCCTGTCGCAACAAATCTAATTTTTTAGATATGTATAATTGAAAGCACCTGAGGAAAATAAAAATATTTAAAAACTGGAT